CTTTGTTGACTAGTTGGATTATCTTAGAAGTAGATTGCACAGTCAACACATTAGCTGATTTTCCTACAAAACCTGGAAATTTCAACATTTTCTACGGTTGCCTTAGATCCTTTTTAATCCTGTTGATGGGGTCCAATAGCCTCAAGTAAAAGATTCGTTAGATCACAGTTGGATTTGTGGAGTCCGTGATATGGGACACAAGTTAACTGAGAGTCCGACACCGTCGATGTAACGGCGGTGAGACCTTTCAACATATATGTTACTCAGCAGATCCTCAGCATCCATGTTACATACAACAAATACCCACCGGCGATCTGACTTACAAAATCTGCTGTAAGCAGTTACTATAAGATTTACCTATGCTTCGTGACACAAAGCCCTGCATTTGTTACACTGGATGCAAAGTAAAGTGGCATCCAGCTCGCTTAAATGTGTCCTTCATTGTAAGCGTGGTCTTCCTCCTTTCCTTTTCCCTTCAGGTTTCTAAGTTAGCGCTTGCGTCGTGATGCAGTTTGATGATTTCCGTATTTTATATTCTATCCGCTACCGACGTCTTTTCCTAATCTCCTCTTCAGTTAGAAACCTGCATGTTTTCTGTCATAGTAGTTTGTTGCTGATGGTATCCGGCCAACGGACATTCAGTATCTTACGAAGGCAATTTTTTTATAAATACTTGTATGTTTTTTTATGTTGGTTGACATCTGTTTCGAGTTGCGGCTATTCATCAACTGTGGGAATATTATCCTTGCTTTGCCAATCCTTGTCTTTACATTTGCACCGGATCCTCTATGTTTGTCATAAATGCTGCTCAGGTACATGTGTCTTTCCTGACAATGGTGAAAGAAAAGTCGTTAGATAGATTATAACAAAAGTTTACAATCGTCTAAAGATTTGAGATATATTAAAACTATCCTCACCTTGTAAAGCTGTTAATACCGATTTGTAAGTTGAGATGGAACCACAATTAACTGTTAACTCGGACAAAACACAAAAAAGTAGTTTACCAAACGTCGGAACAGATTCTTTAGATGAATTGTAGTACTTTTGTTGTTTAAACGCACAGCAAATGTTTGAGAGATAAGCAAATCATATCAGGACTAAATTTCCCGTTCTTAAGGCGTGCGTCAGTAAGGGTAGGTAGAGTTGTCTGCAGGAAGGAAAGGATTGATGTCATATGGATCGTCTAACAAATAAACTTGGAGAGTTGATAATAACGACTTGTTCCCAACAAACTGGAGTTGCACGAGACGTGCCAATTTACAGGTGAGATCAAATTGTTACATACGCTGTGTAATCTGCTACTTTTAACTCATTTACCAAGTCACTTTGACATGTCCTGAAGAAGCAGGACATTAAAATTTTGATGCATAACTAGTCTATCTTTGAATTTAGGCTAAACTGTACTGCTGAAAAGACGGTGCTCTATATGGGTGCTGCGTCATAATGCTGAACTTTTGTTAAAAATAATTCATGCAACACCCATTGCATAAAACAGACGAAATATAGAGTATATTTTAGTATCTGTCTGTTAGCTGATACAATGGGATTTACTGTACAAACAGTTTACAATAAAAGTACGAGGTAAGGCGTAATTCGGTGTCATGTTCTTGATACATAGTTTAGATACTGTATAACGATAATGTACAGATGTGACATTTGGAGAATTGTTTCTTTCTTTTTGACTGTTCGCACCGAATTAACAGGACGACTGCTATCATGTTGATGAGTCGTGTTGATACTGATCTCTACGTTTTCTGCTGAAAAATCAGACACAATAGTTCAGGTATAGCATTATTGACGAGGTACAAACAAACTAATACCTCATATTTAGAAACTTCCTGAGCTGCAGTTAGACTTTTTAGTCCACGATCATCGTTGTGGAACACTGGAGTACGAATATCACCGATTGGTTTGATTAACAATGTTTTGTAATATGAAATCTGTTTTAGATGAAACCTATTTATAACAATAACAAATAACAAAAACAACGGAAAAAGAGCAAGTAACCACAAGTATTTTTATAAGCTCCGAATGATACAATACACATTTTGTCATGTTATTTTGATTCGTTTGCCCGTAAACCAAGTTTTTACTTTCTTAGCCTATCCTTTCGATCTTACTAAATCGATAGTTCAACTTAGGCATTTTTCTTGTTTAAATTGTTCATATGGGAATTATTAGTCTTTTCAAAAATGAGATAGTCTGCATTAATATATTAAAGTTTTATGGGGTTCTTTTGATATCAAGTGCGTCAAACATGTTATTAGAAGCACTAGGATTTCAGTGGACTGCTAGGTTTTATAGTGTTTTGGGATCGTCTATAATTCTATCTAACACATGGATTATGTAGCATATAAAGCTTATCCTAGATGACAGAAAGTTTAAACAAGAAGAATTTTTGTCGTACATTAGATCTATACTGCTGTATTTTGACTATCTTCGCATGGAATTAGAATGACATAGTTATATAGTGGTGATTCTGATGTATTGACCAATCATTTTATAAAATTTTCCTCCTTCATGGAGTTCAAAATATGCACACTTCACATAGTTTAGCAGTAGTTCTATGAGTTGTTTAGGAAAATGAAATAAGCTTATCTAGGAACACCACCTTTTTTAGTACGCTGTAGGCATCCTTTTCGATGACTGAAGAAGTGAGACAAAATATTATCATCCTCAACATCTTTCTTGGTCATACTTTAGATTTCAGATTTTTTTATATAATACTCAGAAGCCTCACTATCTGAATGTACATACAAATGTTCAGTCACTGGCTTCATTGCGATACTAATATGATAATTAAAAGTATTCGAAAATATCAACCAGTAGAGGGCCAACGGTGATCCCATGACAAACCCATCTAGTTGTCTATAGTATTCGTTGTCAAATGTGAATTGAACATTCATTGTATATCTAAGAATTAACTGTTTTATCGCGGATGCTGGAATTGGGGTTTCTATGCGCCTCTCTGTTTTTTTTTCTTGCAAAACTATAAAAACGGTCCACTTAAAAGTATAATTAGCTATTTAAAAACTTTTTATCGCTATATAGACAATACCTTCATAGTACTAGAAAAAGAAAATGATAAGGACAATTAACTTAATATGTTTAATAACATTCATTCATCAATTATTTTTACATCAGAAGATGAACAGAATGATAGCATATCATTTCTAGATGTCCAACTAACAAGAAGAGCAGACGGGACTTTAAAAAGAAGGGTAGACAGAAAGTTTGCAGCAGGACTATACACTCATTTCCATAGTGCAGTTCCAATCAGATGCAAAAGGAGCTTGATAAAGATCTTGACTCATCGAGCAAGAATGATTTGCTCTGAAGACATCATTGGAGAAGAATTGAATAATATTCGGAACCTACTTAGTATGAATGGGTACCTCATGAAATTCATCGACAAACATATGGTGGAGAATAAAACAAGGACAAAGATACCCACCGTTCTTAAGAAGGTACTATTCATAAAACTACAATTCATAAATGACACGATTGCAGAAATCTTGACTCAGAAACTAAGAAGAGCCGTACAAAAAACATTTAATGCTGCCAGATTAAATGCCATCTTCCACAACCATCCAAAAATAAGAACAGCCAATAAAGACACTGTCTGAATTCGTCAAATCTATGTGTATCTATCGTTTCAACTGCTCCTGTGGAGCCAGTTATATAGGGCGTACAATTCGGCAAGTCCAACATCGTATTACAGAACATCATCCGTCATAGTTAAGCAAAGGATAGGTAAAAATGATTGAAAGTTCTATTCTCTCTCACTTGGTTGACACAGATCATCAAGTTGAATTGAACAAAGCATTTAAGGTTATCTAAAATATCCCATCAAATTTACCACATGGTTTACGAGTGCACCTCTTGCACACTGCGGAAGCCATCGCAATACATGTTCACAAACCTGACCTTTGTATTCAAAAGAGAACCACTTTTTCTGCCGTGGCCATCAGCATAGGATTTCCTTCAAAAGAACTATTTTTCATACTTCTTCCACTTTTTTTAAACTCTTTTTATTTTGTTTCTGTTACACATAGTTCCCTCTATATCCTATCGGTTGTTACTTCACTCTCTAGATGGCGTTGGAGACGCGGTTAGTGAACTTCCTTGAGATGTATTTTGTCAAATACTACGCAACCAGAAGTTGTCAGACTCTTCGTACTTCTTGGCGCTGCAAATAAGAGCTTGTAAACTACCAAAGTAAGTGATCTATGTCGAGTGGTTGGGGTCTACTCTAATTAGATAGGAATGATGTGACAAACCAGCCAACTTCGAAGTCACATCTTGCGGTCAGCACCTAAAGTGGAATACCCCGTTATTATATCAAGCTACCGTGGCTACTTTGAAGACCGTATAACATAAAGGATACTATTACAAAAGTGTATTAGTAAGAGTGAGCACAAGGAAGAGAGTGCGATCGCCACCTCACTCGCGCGCGTCTGATTGATGTGCGTTGGTTGACCATGAACTTGACGAGAAACAGTGAACTGTCCTAAACCTGTTGACCTAGTGACACGTCACTAGCCCTACATGTTCTTTTTAATTGCACGTTTCACTTTCATTTTCTTCTATTTCCTGATGGAGTGTGCACTTTATCTCCACTTTTCCGATTGCTTGAGCGACTAGAACTAGTGCATTTCAACGGCATGACTAGTAGCCATCGGATACTGTTGAAGAGCGGAAACCATTCGGAAACAATAAGAAGCGAAAGCAAATAAAACACTTGGTTTATAAAAACTTGTGTTGTTCTAATTTTCACAATGGGAATCTTTAATATTATAAAAACTTGTCAACAAGATATATGGCTATGTATTTATTGAACTCATGTTTTCTTAAGTATATCTACCTGTAACAAAAATAAAATTAAAAGTAAATGAAATAATGATTGATAGATCGTCGTATTAACTCATTATTATATTAGACGGTTTATGTTTTCCTCATGAGATTGTCAATGAACATTTCGGGCGGTAATTCTCAACGTACGTTACTGTTTGCAGTACTTCTGTAATGTGTAATTCTTTCTTTAATTCAGTGTATTTAACAATATGTTGTCTTCCCAATTGTTATTTAAAAAAAACAGCGTTTAGCGATCGAATAGTTTTTGGTGTTTCTCTACTCAGTTTCTGAACCTGTGGGTATATTTTAGGTGTATTTTAATGCCATTACGCCTATCGTCAATTTAATTTATGACTCAAAATCAGTTGCGTGAATCTGTCTGTTGATTTATGATGAATTCTTATATGTGGTTCAAAGTTTTACTAGTTCTGTGGATGGATAATGAAAACCACTGGGCAGTCTCAGAGTGCATTAGCTTTAAAATGGTTGTTACAATGTGGATGGTCCTACGCTGCCATCAATCAATCGTTGGTAATTTCTGTGACTTTGTCAATTTATTTGTTTATGGACCGGTTGTTCATTGCCATATTTTATATATTATTTTATTTAGAAATAGTCGCGATTTCTTGACATAATCACAGTTAATCAATAGGCTAGCTATTTTATTTTGTGAGATCTGTTTTTCTGAATTTTAAGTATCGTTTGTCGCGAATTGCTCTAGACTTTACTGTAATGCGTCTACCGTTGCTTTCAAATTTTAGAGGTTTTATTATTTGCCACTTACCCTCCATTCTACATTTCAGAATTCAAACGATGTCTTTATTTTGAGTACTGATTAATTTAAAGAAAGTGATCAAAATGTCGGCTTCTATTGATCAAATATTTCACACTGGCTTGCTAGATTTACCTTGCCATCGTTTACTTGAAGTACAGTGTCTAAAGTTGAGAAAACCTCTCGTCTGCTTAAGTCCAGTTGCAAAAATGCATATTGTTAATTATACTTTAAATATAGTAAAAAGTCTTTGTGATGCTACTGCTCCCAGTTGTATTGGTGATATCATACAATGCATAGATTACTGTTTTCCGGAGAAACTTAAACCTTCTCCTCAATTTCTGGATGAGCTTCAATCTCAGGTTGAGAAAGGAAAAAGAAAAACATTGTATATTTCTGCTGATAAAGTTTTTTCCTGCTTCAAGGTAACTGTAGTTTGGCCAATTTTATTTATATTTTCAGTTGGTGTTTCCACGCATGGAATCAAATGTGTCCTTGTTCCTGACACATCTGATGGAACATATTATGGGACAAATCGTTCAGGTAATATAGCATTTAAACAGACAATTTCTTAGTGGGTTGTAAATTACGAGTCGAAAATTCAGTCAGGATATATTGAGGCTACAGATGTTCATGTAAGTGTTAAAAAGTGGTATATAGTTTAGCTCAATTTAATAAGTGAATATATTGTGAGGTCTCATGATTCTAAAATAAATAATAAGTGTGGTAAACTAGAACTGTTTCTTCAATCGTTATTATAGCTTGTCAAAAAGAACATATTGTTATTGTTGTTATTATTAACTTGTTTCTTGGCTCATGTATATATTGTTGATATTGCATCATGTATTCCAAAAAAGTGACCAACATAAGGAAAATACCATATATTTGATATAAAAGTTTGTCAAACCTCCTTAGTCACTTTATCATTTGGTAGAACTTGTGATGACACAGAAGTCATGTTTTGAGTGCCACTAAACAGGCATTAAAACTGTCTAAAATATATGACATTAAATCTCGGCACTTTAAACTGGCTATATTAATTAGAATGTGTTTGTAAAAACATTTATTTGTCGTGGATCATTTTGCATCAGATACTAATTAGCATGTTTGACATTCGTTTCTCTTACTCACTACTAAATGTTGCTTCAGGAGTGATATGGGTTAACACCTTTGGCTTTCCAGTATTCTTTGTGTAACATCAGAGTCGCTAACTCAGTGGTCCCAAAATATACGAGCAGTAGTTTGAATACACTTACGGTCGAATAATAGTAATCTACGAATATCTTTCATTTTTAAAGGCCATGTTCCACATCCATGCGGTAAAACAGAGAAAACTGGTGTCTAGTGAACTCACCCATTAGTTGGCAGACGGATGTCTACGCTACAAGTGATGTAAGTTGGCAAACACGAACTGGGCTTTCTGGATTCATGCCAATATTTTGCCAGTCAATAAGACTGATGAGACTTCCAATATCAGTGAAGTAGTCGGCACAAAGCTACTTCACTCTTTATCCTTGATCCGGGTGTTGACCGAAACCAGTCCTGAGGCAGCATTTTGTGCGAAGAGTGGGAGAAACTTATCTCAAACAACCTTGTATAGTTTTTTAAAATGGCCAGAAGGCTTCATTTTTTTCAGCATCTTGACCAAAATTCTTGATCAACAAGAAGATCTGGTAAAAAATCAACTTCTGATAAGTCAGTGGGTGAGAGTTTTATTTCTGAAAGAATATTTGTGGCGAAGTTGGTTAAAATTTTGTGTTGATTAGTGACTAGTTTCGTGAGGGAATTCTCGAAGTTCTAGTGAGAAGCCGTGACCAGTGAAGTTAATCCGTGTCGGGTAGAGACAGGTATTTACCTCAGTACCATGGAAGATGGTCACGCAGTTTTCTGGATTGGTTGAGGTTAGACATTAATGCCGTTGGATGCCGGCTCAGTGGTCTAGAGGTTAAGCGTTAGAGCCCTGGGTTTGAATCTCACGAGCGTCGTCGTGGATACGCACTGCTGAGGAGTCCCATAATGGGACGAAACGGCCGTCCAGCGCTCCCAAGTTTTGAATGGTGGTCTAACATTAATCGATTCATGATCTCAAATAAAAGTTTGTACTTTTGGGTCATCGAGTAGTGCCAAGGTACTAGTTAAGGATGGAAAACCCATTGATGGCGCAGTGGATCCACATCGACTGAGGTGGTTTAGACACGTGTTGCGTATGCTCAATCACCTCCTACCTCGTTGTATAATGGTCGATGGTGTGAAAAAGATAGGGACGGAGGAACTAAAATGTATCATTAGCCCATGAAGCGATTGACTGTTGAACCGAGGCATATAAGTAGTTGCAGACCATCTGGTTGGGGTCCACGTAATAATTGCGACCAATGGATACACTTTGCATGACATGCATTAAGTGCATCCATTGTCTATCGTCTTTCGGATCCTAAGTTTCTTAGTTATCGTATAAGCTGTTTTATCTTCTGAAATAATATATTCTAAGCTTAATCTTTTTTACTTTCAGTAGTACTGTTATGACTTATAACACTGTGGTGTGACAGCCTGAAATGATGTACATGTTCAAGCTTCTACGTTGCTTACGACTGACTGATTGGTTACTAATTAATCATGGAGTTTCGTAGTATCTATCCAGTTTTTTAGATATTGTATAGACTAGTTTGTATATTTTCTGGCTAGTATTTTAGCATTACAATATGTCTTACTTCATTTGGCGTCTAGCATATCTTCAGTTTATTTGGAGCACCAAAACTGTCAAAATCACCAGTTTGTTATTCCCTCCCGTTCCTACCTAGAAAGTCTGCAGATTATAAAGATTATGCGAAAGAAATTCAGTATTTATTGCGATTCAGTGTCCAGCATCTTGGAATAATTGTACGCATTTTTGGTGACTCACTTATGGAAGAGTTATCGCATGTCAGCATTGTTACAGAGTCACTTCTTACTGAATGTGAAGATACCCGTAATATTAACTTGACAGCTCGACGTTTACTAGGTGCTATTAAATCTGCTCAGATTGTTTTTGATCGTGCTTCAGAAGTGCATAGTCATGTGACTGTGCTAAGTGAGTGTATCGACGATGCTTTTGAGGACCAAACTCGTCTCATCGGTTCATGTTTGATAGTAAGTCATTTCATTAGATTATGATTTGCTAACGAAACGTCAATCGGCTTTTACTGTACTCTTATTTATGCCGCTCGCTTGAGTTATCCTACCCAATAAATTAGTGATATGCCATTTCGAAATACGGTGTTTCAGATAGTCTGTGGATCATTACATATACTTGCTTTTTACATCCATTTTCAACCCGGATTAATTTAATCTTAGCTAATATTTAATTAGAAAACGTTTTATAATATTTACAAGATAGTTGAATAGACATCTGTTAGTGAAGTATAAATCTCAACAAAGGTCGTGGCATGAAACCTGACTTTACAGCCAATCCAGCTAAATTACTCAACATATGAAATTATCGTTGTGCTAGCTTGAGGACTTGGTTGCGTGTTTTCACCAACATCGTCAAACATTAAATTGTTTGTATCATTCATTCACATTATTTGGTATGTGAGACGATGAGTGCTCGTCACTGTTTATGGCGCTTTTGAAATTCTTAATGACGCTAGTTCGTTAGCACTAAGCTAGTATGGTGGAGAAGATTTGTAGCTCAGGTGGATGATTTTGGTGGAGTTTTGTTCTCTGAGCTGGATGGTTTGGTCGTGGAGCTTTCATCGTTCCACGACCAAACCATCCAGCTCAGAGAACAAAACTCCACCAAAAACTAAGCTAGTATTTCTAATCAACCTTCAAGATAAATATGTTTGTTTAAAAATATTTTTACTTGACTCAGTTACCGTTCAAAATGGGAGTTAAATATTAAAGTTGAAGTATTTTTATTCTCCTGGTAGTCATTTTATGATCGTGTGCAAAGGAAGTTTGGTACGGTATTATTTCGACTCCCTTCGAGTATCTTGTAAGATCATGTAGATTGAGCGTTTATGTATCTAACTAATATACTATTTGTGGCTAGTTTTAGGAGTTACACAAAATAGTTTGTAACACTGTAGAGGTCTGTTTAAAACTAATCACCTGTTCATCGAGTTATGCAGAATTATATTTTCCAGATCATTATTTTTATGTAACGTGTTGTAACCCTAATTCACTTGTTCGTCTGTTATCGGTTCATTCATTGAATCATTTTTCACTCAATCTGAATACCGATTATCGTGTAGTAGTTTTAGTTTGGTGACATACGATTTAGTTTAAAATTTTGACCTTAATTGTAATTCACAGAATAAGAAATAACACTTTTGTGTTTGTATAGGATATGTCCTAGTAACTAAAATTAGATGAAGACTGATAAAATCAGAACATAAATATCAGATTGAGTTATGTGACGTGGCTGGATAAACTGAATGAGACTGAAACAATCTGGAAAAGCATGAAACTTCAAGTTATTAGGAGTATAATCAGTCAGTCAGTTATCTACAACGCAAGACCAGACACATATATGTATTGGTCTAAGTTGTCATACCTCATTATTACAACAAGATGATCACCAAATTCATAGTAGTTATTTCAGTGGTAGTAATATATAAAAAAGATTGCATATAAGGACATGATGCAAGAAGAAAGAATTAGTTCGTAGAACGAAAGCTATGGAGCAATTTTGACCTCACAGTTTAAGTGACGACAGAGAATTTATTGTGGTCGATTCTGATCCATGTCACACTAAGTCTCCAACGTTTGGTTCAGATAGTCACACGGACCCCAACCAAGTAGTCTGCATCTACCAACATGGCTCAGATCAGAAGCTGGCAGCTTTATGGACTGATGGCATGTTTTGGTTTGGCCGCCTCGAACTTTCTTCCATTCGTCTCCTACACTAGTCAGCATTGCTCTCCGTGGTAATCGGTGGCTGGGCATACGTAATGAGTGGTCCAACCATCTCAGTCGATGAGGATTCACAACCACCATTCCCTAATATTCTGCACCTAACCTCACTATTACTTACCCGGAGATCCCAGAAGATGCGAGAAATATTTCTAAGAGATCTGTGATCAAATACTAGTAACTTACGGGTATCCTCTACTCCTAATGGCCAAGTTTCGCAGCCGTAAATTAGAACAGAACGAACTGCTGCACAATATACTCGTCCCTTAATTGATAGACGAACATGTCGCCTTCGCCATAGGTGACATAAGATGGCAAAATCCAAACGAGCTTTTTGAATCCGTGTAGAAATTTCGTCAGACACCAACCGATTATGACTAATCAGACTTCTAATATAAGTGAAAATGTCGGTGCGATTGACTACTTTACTCCCTATCCCTAGTTTAGGTGTTAACGCAGGCTAGTCCTGAAGCAACAACTTGCATTTAGAGGGGTAGAAATGCTTTTCAAACACCCTGGCATTGTTACTCAGTGCTACTAAAAGACTCCATTTTATCGGCATCTTCATCGAACAGGAATACGTCATCTGCGTATTCCAAATCAATAAGTGGATTTCCGGGTAGGAGATGAATTCGTGAAAATTCAGACGACCAAAACATTATTTCCAGCAGTAGGTCTATGATCAAATTAGACGAAAATGGAGATAGTAAATAGTCTTGTTGGCCATCACATGAGGTTGCAAACTCAAATGACGGTTCGTCATAAGCTCTGACCTGACTGACAGTGTTTGAGTAAAGAACCTTCACAAGGTTTATGTATTTCTGAGGTACTCTTTTCAATGACAGAGTGCTACAGAAGCTCTCGGTCTACGGAGTCAAATGCTGCTTTTAAGTTAAGAAAAACCATCATTGTTGGTCACCGATAAGCATGCATGTGTTCTAGAACCTAACGAATCGTGGATATGTGGTCGATGCAGCCACGACCAGGTCTGAAGCCAGCCTGATTTTTTCGTACTTGCAGTTAACGAGTCTTTGTTAGGCGCCCGATAATTATGGAGACCAGTATTTTAGATGCTATATTAGTCAAACGAATCCCTCTGTGGTTATCACAGGATGATTTTGACCCCTTATATATTGGGATGATCAGCGATAGCGATCTGTCAGATGGGATTACGTCCAGTTCCCAGATTTTAGCCAAAATATTAGTCAACCTAATCGCTGAAACTGGACCACCATCCTTAAAGACATCTAGAGTTAACCCATCTAGACCATCTGACCTTCCTCGTTTCAGATTAACCATAGCTTTTTGAACTTAACTTCAATTAGAGTCGGGGGACCTACTTCAATGTTCCATTCAGGCTGTTTTGAAATGGTGGGTAGCTGTAGAGTTATTGCTATTTTTATTATTTAAACACATAAAAATTGGTACAAGGAGGAACCGGATGCACATGTGCTACACAATAACAATGAGACTGGTAGCAGTTATGATTGATTTATGTAAGTGCTGTGATACTGCCCGAGTGCCTAAACCGAAGCAGGTGACTTTCTTGGGGAGCCACATCCGAAGCCTTCGACCTGAAAACCTACTCCACAAGGCAGTGGAGCAACGTAAGGAGATGTAGTCCTATGGCAACCGGTGACCAATAATAGGTTCATACACCATTTGTTTCCTCAGGATCCTGGAGCCCATGTGCACCAGTGATTTAGAATCAAGGTTTTCCAACTGCCTTAGGTGGATCCTCCATGTTCACCAACCCGGTTAAAACTCTGAATATTCGCTTTTCGTCCTCTCGACTTCGTAAACAACACCCCCGCTGCAAGAAGGCAGTGATTAGGACTTCCTTGTCAGTGGTTGTAGGTACGTGGCTATGTGAGAGTATTTGGAGAGGGAGAGTGGACTCTTCCCACTCTCGGCCGTACCTGTGCATTTGGGGGCCTGTAGAGTAGCTAATGGCCAGCTGAACTGTCCCCTTGAAGTGTCCCGCCCATCCTTCTAAACATCTAGACTGAGAGCAGATGAGAGTGCTGTCTTTTTCTGAGATTGTCTCACACTTGATTTCTCAATTCCTGTTTCTCTTATTGGTCTGAAAAGCTATCTTTTGTTACTTACAGCCGCTGCCTTTTATGTGTATTTTGCCTTTGTTACCCACCACTGCTCATGATCGTCTCGGAGACTTTTGGTTGGCCTAAATTTGCTTTGCCTTTCACCCTTCATCGTGTTTGGAGTCTGACGGGATAAGTTTACGGAAGTCTATCAGTGTAGTAGATGTTGCAGAATTCCACTGGTTTTTCGTAACTCATTGCTTCAAATCACTGATAGATGTCGCTGTTATTTCCACAGCTGTTCGTATATCTTTCCAAGCAACATCTGGGTCTGCCTCGTTTTCGAAATTGCCTGAATGTGGCTTCATTTGTTTCTGAACTTACCTTTGGCTTTATCATCACCAAGGTAAACGCCAATGGGTTTTCTTAATGTGGCTTTTTTGCTCCCAGTGAGGCGCCAGCAAATGTGTGCTCGCATTATGACATGATCAGAGTCTAAACATGTATTCCAGAACGAGCGGCAGTCTTCTATCGAGCCTCTCCAACGATGACTGGTGGCAATATGGTCTAATTGAGTTCATCGTTGGTTTGGTGTAGGGGGTGGCCATGTTAGTGCTTGTTGGAAACAAACGATTTTCTGAACATAGTTGCAGCAGACGGTTACCATTATCTTTTCGCTGAGGCGGAATACCAAAATACCCACATAAATGTCTTCCTGTTTGCTTTAAGCTACCTTACTTACTCCTGCCCACCAGCATTCTCCACCGAACTCCATCCTAAGCAATCCTTTGCCATTGCTACTCATCCTTTTAATGCCTGCTTCCGATTCTCGGTACATTGTGTTTTTTGGCCTTCCTCTTTTCCCTTTCACTTCAGGATCCCAAGTTAGCGCTTGCTTCGCGATACAGTTTGATGATTTCCGCAATGTGTGTCCTATCTACTTCCAGCGTCTTTCCTTAATTTCTTCTTCAACTGGAAGTTGGTTTTTCCTCTCCCATCTACCCACCTACTTGGGAATTAAAGTCACCTGCTACAAGTATTATGCCTGAGTGTTTAGCTTTTTGAAGTTTAGAAAGCTTTCTATAAAATTCATCTTTCACTTCATCTGGGTTGCGGTTAGTGGGTACATAGACAGAAATAACGAAAGGCAACGATGCGTGTCCCTATTTTTCTGAGTTCTTACGGAGCCGTTTAGCCGAGCAACACATAAGCGACTGTTGACAGGGATTTATTCTAGAAATGCTTGTTCTGCCCTCATACTTGGCGTTATGCTCATACACTAGTCCACGGAAACGCCGTCGGGTCGCCAGATAGACATAGGGTGTATCTCGTCGGCTCCCCGTTTTGTCTAGGTGAGGTCAAGTGAATGGTCACACTAGGACCCTGTATGCGTGTTTCGGAGACACAGTATACATCAATGGTACGAGATTCTAGGATCTTAGCCAAGGAGATCTGCTAGCTGACTGGACACAGGATACATACTTCGAAGGCTCCAATGTGTAGTTTGGAGCGATGTTTCAGTAGAAATGAGACGGTATTTCGGGCACTAGAATCACTGGCCTTGGAAACACTTGAGGAGAAAGTTTAGAGTCGATAGTAGAGGTAATAGGAATTAAAGGAAGAGGTATGATTATAAATACAGTGGTCTTGAGTGCTGTTAAAGGTATGAGGGCGGCTATCACTGCCGGTTGCTCACACCGTTAAAGGGTTCTCCTAGTGGTAACTGAGAAGGAAATCCGATTAGAATTGGCCTTAGTGACTCGAGAGCATGATCTAAGTACCCAAGGGACAATTGCTTGAGACCGACCACACACGCTTCTTTGTGGGTAATTTTTGTGTTAGCCCCATACTTGTTGAAACCTTACTGACGACGACGAAAATTCGTGTGATAAGGTGAGGTGTACATTTTTATGGTCGACCTTTTCTAATCCAATCCTTCGTTGTGGGAAGGCACCATCGTTGTTATGCCGGTTGTCTGAAGGAAGCACTTTACTGCCGTCACGCCTCTGTACAGTCAGCAGTACAAATTCGCCCTCGGACCTCGGGTTCGCTGCTTTTGGTCTTACTGCTCTTCAACCGACCTGTCTGGCATGGTAGGACCTTGAGGAATGATTGTTCCAGCCAGTATAACTCGATTGGTTCATCACGATAGGCAAAAGCGACCACTACATCAAGATAACAGCAAAGGTCGGGCAGAAATATGATGCCGAATAGAATTATGTTAATGATCATGCGGTATAAAAAGCAAAGATCTTAATGGTTGTGGAAGTTACATCCAATACATGATATTTAACAAATTAAACAAACTTTCGAATACAAAGTTTAGGGTTTAATTTATGAATTGCCATATCTCTTACTGTATTCAAAGTTTTAAGGCATACACTTTTTAAAAGAGTAAAGTTATATTTTCTATTTATATTTAAATGTCAACTACTTTGATAACCTGTAGGGAAAAGTCTGTCTGGCCTCTTCTACTTTAATGCCTATTTTAGGAAGCTGCAGAAGACGGGACATTGTACAACTTTGCTCACTACGCAGATACACTTTTTAGTAACGATTGTCGTGAGTGGATAAGTATTTTAGCTCAAACTCCTTGTATTATGCGGACACTTGCAAATGAATTTCAGAAGATCCTACAAGTCACTCTTAGCAATGTAAGTTTTCCAAATCATTTGAATTGCCTCGTATTCTGTCTTGAACAAGCAGTAAATTGTTTTTAATTTCTGTGTAATTAGATTATAATCATTTCGTTTACTAGTTTGCTTCAACACTAAATTTAGTTCAGAAATCAGCCTGTAATATTAGTAGTAATACGTGACATTTGTTTCATGCTATGAAGTACACTGTTATGTTGTAAAGCTGAGATAATAGTTGACAGATACTGCGAATAATGTAGATGGAAAACTGATAAGTGAACTTATTTTTACGGTGCTTAAACCTACCTTGTTATAAACTCCCTCGTAATCATTTAACTCCTATTGTTTAAAGCAGGTTAGCAGTATAGCCAAGATTAGGTTACAAGTAGATAAAGATCCATCTTAGGAAGTAGTTTAGTAGTAATTATGTCTTACATTTTCTCCTAATATTATCCTATTTTCAGTCAAAATATTGATAAATTTTGAGAATATTTCATCTGATAGAACTATTTGATCTACTCAATTTGTTTATGTCGTGTTTCTGGATATTTATGCTATTGTAATATATATATATATATATATATATATATATATATATATATATATATATATATATATATATATATATATATATATATCCATGACCTGGATGAAAAGTGGTCAGTCTTCACAAGTCAATCCTTAATGTTTCTCAAAAACTGAGTGATATAATGGATGTTGGTAGTTCAGAAACAAAGTAGGGTAGACTTGTACATTCATAGTTGTCGTATGCTTTACGTAGATCTTTTTTAAGGATGACAACTATCTACTTAATTCAAGGCGATATAACATTCTTCGTATCTCAAATCCTTCCAAACAATCCAGCCAGTTCCATCATCATCATTCTTAAGAGAAGCTGGAGTATGTCTTATAGGCTAGTGGAAGTTTTTTATGGACCAGGCAAAGCATTATAGGACAGGTTGATCGGCATTGTTTAGGCGATAAACCTTACGTCTGTAAGTGTAATCAATGTGTTCACTATCGACCTCTGATTGTTTCACTTATACGGAATTGAGTTCTTGTTGTTAGCGTCTCATTTGTGTTTAGACAGCTTCCAGCATTAACCAGACGCAGTTGCTGTTTACAACTCGATAGTACGCTCTTGCCACCAGATTTCTTAGTCCTTGCACCAGCTTTGTGAAATCAAAACCAACAAGACCTGATATCGATACCATAAATCCCTCAGGTGTGTGCATGTGGAACGAAACTTCATAATCGATATATAAAGGGAGAATTTGTAGTACTTCGTTAGAATCTTAAGTGCGGGTCAGATATACATCATATATCGGTATCGAGACTTTCTAGACTTATCCAAACTTGTTTTGTTTAATTTTTATCAAGTTGAAAATGCCGGACACCGAAATCTTAAATGTTTCACAAGGTTGCAGAATAGTTATTTTAACTTACATTGCGTAACAAGCTTCAGGAAACTGAATATCCGCTATTCCCTACAACCGTTTAAACAGCAGAGAACTTTCAGCAAAGACAATCCCATTGGTCTAAAAATTGAAATTAATGTAGGAAAGTGTGTATACGATATAGGAACGACATAAAGTTAATAGTCAAAGTGAAATAAAATAAAACTAATTGTGATATAGCTTTTGTTAATCATATGCATCAGCGTCTAAGTTTTGTTCATTAACATTTATTATTATATGTGTATGGGCCGGAATACTGTCCGGACACACGAACCGAAACAGATAACTTTTAGGGTACTACTCCTCGAACCTCCGGCTTATAGTTCTAATGCACAAGGCTGTGAAACAACACTTTCGTGGTTTTACATTTACAAATTGAGTTATTTACTTGAGCCTTTTCATATCTGCTTCCAATTTCCGACGTAGTGTGTTCTTTTGCCTTCCTCTTTTCTGTTTACCTTCAGGAATACAAGTTAGCGCTTGCTTCGCGATGCAGTTTGGTGATTTATATAAAGTGTATGTCCCATCCACCGCCAACGTCTTTTCCTAATTTCCTCTTAGATGGAAGTTGGTCTGTTCTCTCCCACAATAGATTATTGCTGATAGTATCCGGACAACGGAAATGGAGTATCTTACATAGACAGCTGCTTATAAATATTTGTGCTATTTTGATGATGGTTGTGGTAGCTCTCCAAGTTTCAGCTCGATACAGTAGAACTGTCTCGACGTTCGTATTGAAAATTCTGATTTCGATATTGGTTGACAGTTGTTTCGAGTTCCATATGTTCCCCAACTGTAGGAATGTTGTTCTTGCTTTGCTTATCCTTGCATTTACATCTGCATCAGATCCTCCTTATTCATCAATGATGCTGTTCAAGTACGTGAAAATTTCCATCTCTTCCAGGGCTTATCCACCAAGTGTGATTGGGTTGGTGTTCTTTGTGTTGTATTTGACTATATTGCTTTTTCTTATGTGTATGTTGAGGCCTAGTGATTCAGCGGCTTTTGCTACATTGGTTGTCTTGACCTGCATTTGTTGGTGTGTATGGGATAGAAGGTCCAGGTCATCTGCCAAGGTCCAAGTCGTCTAGTTGCATTCAAACAGTTCATCGTACTCCGTGTTTCCCCTCAGATTTTGAGGTTTTTATAATCCAGTCGACCACCAGACGAGAGAGAGAGTGAGTGGATGAGAGTAAGCAGCCTTGTCTGATACCGGTTCTCACTTGAAATGTGTCTGTCAGCTGTCCTGCGTGCACAACTTTGCACCATAGTCCGTCGTATAAATTCCATATGATGTTGAAAATCTTCTCACGTATACCATAGTGTCGAGGAAGGTTCCATAAGATTCTTCTATTTAATCTGTCAAACGCCTTCTCATAGTCAAGGTAGTTAGTGTGTTATGAAGAATTCCATTGAATTGACTGCTCAGCAATGATCCATAGTGTCGCAATTTGGTCAACGCACAACCGATCCTTACAGAATCCAGCATGTTGATCTCGAAGTTGGGCATCTAATGAATGTTTCATTCGGTCCAACGACACTGATAGTAGTTAGATGGCTCTTTGGTTCTCCCACATTCTGAGATCCCCTTTCTTTTTTATCTTGATAAGGTAGCCTTCTTTTCGGTCTGTTGACACTTATTCTTCCTCTCGAATCTTCCTGAACAGAATGTGGAGCATGTTTGCAGTTACTTCTATGTCTGGCTTCAGTGCTTTAGTTGGTATTTTGTCTACTACTGCTTTCCCACCATTCATTTGTCTGGTGGCCATCATGATTTCTTCGATCGTTGGTGGAGTGACATCTACAGGAAGGTCTTTGTATGCTACTTCGAAGTCCAGTGGATTCAATGGAGCTAGCCTATCCAAGAGTTTCTCAGTGTTCTACCCATCTATTCCTCTGTTCCTGAATCTCATTGGCTGTCTTGCCTTGTTTGTTCTTGACTGATCTCTCTGGTTTACCATATCTCCTTACTAGTTTCTTTCGTGCGTCATATTGTTGTTTCATATTTTCTTCTCTTGCAGCTTTTTCCTCCACATATTTTTGCTTGTCGGCTCTAACGCTCCTCTTCTTTTCATTGTTTGTTTCTGTGTATTCAGTCTGTGCCTTGAATTTCTCTGTTCTAGTACGGCTGTTTCTAATTTCTGTCTTTTTGTTCTTCCTTTCTTGAAACTTGTCCAGGATTTTCGATAGAGATCCCTTTCTTATGATGATGCTTCTTGAGTCCCAGGACCTCCTGACACGTTGAAGTTAGTGCTTCTTTGATCCCTTTGTAATTATCCTCCATAGTAGTTTCTTCTTTCAGTAAATCTTTTAAGGCTTAGAACTTATTGGTTGAGTTTGTCAGTATCTCAGAGGAAGGCTGCATTAAACCTTCCTAGTTCTGTTTCTTCAGTTATTCAGTGCTTCTTTAGCTTCAGTTTCATCTCGGCGATCATCAGGTGATAATCTGTAGCTATGTCAGCTCCTCTCTTGGTTCTCACATCCGTTTTAGCGATGTAAACATGATCAATCTGGTTCTGTGTAATGTGATCCGATGAGACCCATGTAGCTCTCTCTATGTGTTTGTGGGGGAATATAGTGCCACTTATAACCATTTTGTTGAATGCACATAAATTAGCAAATCTCTCTGCATTCTCTTTCCTTTCTTCTAGTCGATTCACGTCGTCCCAATGACATATTCATATCCGGTGTTGTCCGCTCCGACATTGGCTTTTAGGTTTCCCATAAGCATGGTTGGGTCCTTTCTTGTAAACTTCTCTATGATTGATTGCAGCCTCTCGTAAAACTGATCTTTATCGTCTTCATTGTTATCATTGGTGGGTGGATAGCATTGAGTAACATTCATTGTGATTTCCTCCTCCCTTATTTTGAAGGATGCTTTGATGGTCTTGGATCCATGAAATTCCTATTCTATAAGTGTTTCGTGTGCTTCTTTGGACAGCATCAGAGCAACTCTCTGCATGCGAAGAGTATCTTCTTTTTCATGATCAGAACAAAACAGCATATTATTTCATGTGCCTACATTAACTGTTGTTCTGGTTGTTAGAAGGCCATCCGAATAATCTCGACTTTTACCATAAAACATAATTCTCCTACATGTAGATCTTTCAACTCCGAGGGCAAAGTTTAAATTTTTTTGGCTAACGTTTTTTAGCGAGGTTGTTTTCTACGGAATGGGATAGCTGACTCCATTCCCATCCCTCCTTCTTTACCCGGTCTTTGAACCCGTAGTAAACCGTAGAAGAGCTACAGGCGGAGTTCAAATTGAGTTATTATGTAATTAATTATTCGTACTTGGCTCCCTAAGAAAACGTCTGAACATCTTTCTGTTGACAATGGTTTATTTAAACATTTTATGGTAATATTTTTGAATATAATTTGTTATCGTTAAGTTTACTAAACTGGGTCGCAGTGAATATATATCCAACTTATTATTCAGTTCTGTACTTTCACTTATCGACTTTGCGATAAGATTGTTTAATACATAGTTACCATTATTAAATTCACCCCTAAAATTGTTGTAAACACAGAATAATATCTTAGTTCCTTGAATCTTTTTTTTTTCAGGCATCTAGTCGTCGCCAAGCTGAGATAAAATTACGTTTTTCTGATCCACATTCATGTCAGTTATGTACCACAAGTTTTGGTTATGATCCAATTGGCCTGACATCTTCCGGACCATCTTCAGGTTCATGTTGTGTTTTAACCCATCACTCTGACAGTCCACAATCTTATTGGTCGAATATGTTATCTGGACACACTAACTATAGTGGTATAAGTACAAGTGTTAGCAGTGCAAGTGGTTCAGTTGACCGTGTTACTACTATGCCTGTACCTTTCAGTCCTATTTTTACAAGCCATGGATTTAATCATTCTTCATCTTTCACATCATTTACAAATCCACGACAACCTAGGGCAACAGATCATTTTCTGTATAGTAATATGAAACATATATCTGGTCAAAGATCAGTTAGCAATTCACCATCATCTCTTCAACCATTTCACAAATCTATACTGGAATCTACAAATCAAGACATCAATCACGGTCAAACTACGGAAGTAATTGGTTTATCAACATCATCTTCATCATCTGCAGTCAATGATGACAGCATAAAAACTAATCCTGATAATGAGTCATCTAGTGTGCATGAAAAAGGTTTCTCAGATGATACTGATAACTGTTCTTCAGAACCTGGCTCATTCAAAGAAAATCAAGCACAATTAATGGAACTTTTTAATTTTAGTAGTGATATGACTAGCATTTTACCAACTTGTAATCATATGGTAATCGCTTTTCGTTACCTTCTACCTCAACTTCTGCTTCTACCAAATTTCCAATTGTTGTATCTGGCAGATCATATTGAGGTAGTGTAATTTCACCGTTGTCTTTGTGTCAAATAACCATGTAAACGTTTTGTCAGTAATGTTAGGAATAGATAGTATTCAAGTCTGTAAACCTATTCACTTGTGAAACAGCTAACCACCGAGGAAAATGGAAGATGATCACGCAAATTCGGCTTAGTGGTCTAGAGATTAAGTATTCACGCACGAGGCCGAATGTCCTGTGTTCGATTTCAGAGTGCGGAGCCGTGGATGCGCACTGCTGAGGAACCCCCTACTGGAACGAGGCGGTCTTCCAATGCTTCTAGGTTTCCAATTATTGTCTAACTTATATTGGTTCATGATTTCAATGTTGTTTTAGTCATATATGGAGTACCTGTTGTTTTGTTCACTCAGGATTATTTCAATTAAGTGAAACATAATGATGAGTAGAAGAGTATAGCGCAATACTAATTGAAAAATAATCATCACCAGTAACTGTCGTCACTTAGTAAGCCATTACTAACAAGAGATATTTAGATAGCACTTTCTTCTTAATTCTGAACTGTTCTATGGAGTGCTCAAATCCTAAAATAAACAATTACAACATCACGTTTGAAGTTCTTGTACTATTTTCTGTATAAACATGATTGGTGAAACTCGTTTATGGACGACCTTTGAACGTATTTTTAAATGACCTTGAGAACATTAGCCAATCAGGAGAGAGTTAGTATAAAGTAGAAATATTTTATAAAAAACTGTTCTTTCACCTCTTCTATTCTCTTTTTTTCTGCATGACCTGCCATCTTCCACAGAAAACACTTTTTTGAAGTATGCGGATGATCTCACTGTATGTATACCTATCTCTTCCTCTTTACATCCCATAGAAATGAATGAGCTTTTGTCTCGTATTGATTGTTGGTCTGTTGGTAATGGTCTCATACTTAATCCGTCTAAATGTCAAGCTGTTAACTTTAGCATGAGACATGAACGGAATATAAACACAACTTTGAGATCCCATAATGCTTGTACCATCGGAGACTCTTTGATAAACTCAGTGGTGAAGGTCAATTATCTTGGTGTCACCTTTTCCTTTGATCTGTTTTGGTCTTCCCACGTTTTATCGTTATCGAAGAAGGTTTTCCGTCTGACCTACTACATAAAGAGATTGCATGCTCTTGGAATTACTCGTCATTTACTCTTACAATTTCTCAATTCTTGCATATTACCTATTATTCTTTGCTGTTCTCCATTATTCTTTCCTGGACTTTTGAGGAAAGACTGTGGTGTCAGTTATTATGGCAAGCCCATATACCTTATTCTAACTTTCGGACATCCTATTTAATTCATTTTACTTGAGCCATATTTTGACCTTGTCAATTATTCGCTTGTCAGTCTTGTATTTGCTACTGCCTTTTTGTTCGTTGTTCAGTAAGTAACTTGTTGAAATACGCTGTGCTGAGAATTCTATATTGTACCAAAATATAATATTGAATAAAGCCTTTAATAATAATAGGAATAATAATAATAATATTCATACCACTGAACGGCGGAATTTTCCGTAACATCTGCAAAAGCCGCAGCTAATGTTACTGGAGACTTTATGATCCAATTTGCAACGATTATCATGATTTGTCTTAGCCTTAGCCGTGACCGGGCAAAAAAAGTGCCAGTTCGAGCAGATTTTTTTCTCCAACATATATTACAACGAAATACAATGTCATCACGTTAGTCTGCACATCGTGCCGCGGTCATTTGATTGCCGCAGTCACAGACACAGGAACTTCTTAATAATCCCATCTACTGTAGTCTCTCAACAATCATTTCTTCTCTAAAATGTGCTGTAAACCGATCGAATGTGAGCATCTTGCATTGAACTTAGCGCCGTGACCTTGAAACTACTCAAACGCTTCTGATTGGCTCGTCCATAAATTAGAGTCCTACCACATGATTGATATACATGCTCCATGCTCTCTTTATATTAAATATTTTATTCCTGTTTAAAAACATGAAACGTTTTGCAATTTAGAGATATTATAATTTAAATGCCAGATTGTGTAATATGATATTAATGTATAGGAAAAGTATATATCGTTTTTAGAGAATCTGTTTACTTATAGCACACCAACAAAAAATGTTTCATTTCTCAGATTGGTTTATTTAAAAAAATAGTAGAGGAGATAAATAGTAAATGAAATTTTCGCTTACACCTCAGATCCACTTACGAATACAAACAATCTGTTATCTTAACATACTTTTCGTTATATACCACATGTTTAATACACACTAGAGTAAATACTTTAAACATTGTTAACATGATCGGATGACCTATTTAGTATACAGTTAGCCGAAGACCTATGTACCTATTTATATTCGGTACTTGTGATGTTCGATTATATTTCCTTGAAAAAGCTTGGACAAGATTGCCGAGCGAAACGTTGGATTTATTACAAATTCATTCGTTGGGATTTTACAAATATATTCTTCCTCTTTAATGTTTCGCATCAACTCGGTTCCCCAATACTGTGAAACTATTCGTTCAAATCTAGACGAAAGTTCTTACAAAATAGTATTCAATTTAAGTTTTATCCAAAAGCTAAAAGGAAACTGCAGTAAACTTGTCACTAATAACAATATCATCACCTAACCTAGAATATCGTAATTTACCAATATATATCAGCCCTATTCAACTTCTTGATTCTCGTAAATCATGCCACTAGCTAACTGTTTTTGTGATTCTATTCAATCCAATCATTAACAAACCTTTACTGTGAAAGGAGTTAGGATGTCTTACGTAAAATATGCACAAGTTAGTATTGTTAGACAACTTCTCTTTTGCCCAAGAACTTGTTTCTGACTTTCACCGTTACGTACTTAAAGGTGCTACTGAATGAGATGAGTGCCATAGAAACATCGATAACTGCTATTCAAGGGCTACATAGCACTGTTAATTCACATCGACGATGTTTCATAAAATTAATAGGGAACTCCATACACCAGTTCGTTGAGCATCACAATTTTTCCACATTCACAGCAGTCCAGAGTACCGTGTTTCATCTGGTCTTTTGTTATACTCTTTTGAGATTTCCATGAATACACAGCTACTGAGGTCATTGGGAGTAATTCACAGATGATAAGTGCGTAGTATGCTCGAAGTTCGTACAGTTTGTATTTTATCTCACCAGGATTATGTCGTTTGGATATTGATGTTTACGTACTGGAGAACATAAATTGTACCTATGAAGGTTTTGGCGAACTTCAGATGCGTTAGAATAGTTTGTCATGACTGACTGTTAAGTATTAGCGACTAATCAAACATGATTTTGTGGTTGAGCTTAAGCGATTTTGAAGGTGTTCTGTTTATTATTCCTGGCGTTTTGAAAGATAAATCCTATCATTGTTCTTCAACTGTGATTGGTGATTTTGCTAAGATGTTGCACAACTGCAGCAATATCATTTTGTTACTAAGCTAGTGTGTCTAATTTATTAATAATAAATATACCTGCAAGCTTAGTACACAATAATATACTTTGTTACTGAGTTGGTTTGTCATTAATCATTGTTCAAAGAGTATAGGAACTTTTAATAGTGCACTAGTATGGGAGTTTCCAAGTTTTTTTAATTTTATATTGGTATATTTTATAGAAGTATGCAGTATTCTTTATATACATGTTTATTTTGTTATGACTATCGAAGTAGTCTTTGTTTATGACAATTAGATGCTTCTCACCCTTAGGCTCTATATACTCATGCTACTGAAGAAAATGAACAATCGACTCTCAAAGATGTAATATCCTTGCTTTCGAAAACCAGGTCCACTGTATCCAATGCATTATTTAATCAAGACTGGGTGAAATCTGTCTCTCCGACGTTAGCTTTCTTCTTGAAAACTCCTTTCTGTTCTAATCTCTATCCAGCTGAAGGTAGAAGTAAATTGGAAGAATTGATTTCTTCAGTTCGTCGCATGCAACACTCTTCTGAACTTCCACTTGTTATGTCCGAGTTTCTGATGGGTATGTGTGGATCTTATATTTGTTATGTTGTTTATTCAGATTTACTTTCAGATGAAAGTTATGCTACAGAATTCATTTAAATATAATTCGTAGTATGTGAGGCTATATATCATTAATATATTTTGGTTATCAGAAATTACCTCTCTAAAACTTATTAAATTGAAAATACCCAAGATATACATTTCTCAATGGAGTTAGCATTGTATGGATTTACTACCATTTATTTGTAGCAACTGTTGTATATTTACTCCGAAACACTTACGCCGAAGTTGTGATTATCCAAAACCTAAAATGTTTAAACTACACTGTAGTTTCATTGTTCCTTACTGCCTTAAAATTACTTATTTGATGCACACTTTTGAAGCTTTTTCCTTTTTTTGGAGGTATTACCAGAGTTAGCACCCAAATAATTAACATTTTGAAATTATAAACACTGTTTTTTTCTTAATGATGGTAATTTTAGTTGGTGATTGCTGGTTTTATTTGACTAATCGTTAGCAAACTTATTTTAAACAATATATCTAACGATTATTTAGAAATTTTTTATTTATGATTCTTTAATTTTCATACAAATTGAAGTTTTGAGAAATAGAACTAAGTGTATCATACACACCAACCCCGTGCACAATAATCGATTTCAATTCCAAACTCTTGTTTGTGAAATTAGGCAAGAAAGAATGAGTCTAACGTAAGCTGTTGTTGTATCCCTCTCACTAATTAAGAAATTACAATCGATTAAAGTATCAACCTATACATTTTACATTTGATTTCCAAGCTTAACTGATTTTATCCTCTCTCCATCTAGTCTTTACTTATATATTCTTATTTGTAAAAATAATGTGATTGAAGGATAAGTTGATCAGTGGTTACGATAAATAAAGTAGTTCATATAATGCAAATGCAAGACTCAGTAGATTTTGTCTTGGTTCAATGTGACTAGAACGCAAATAAGATTTTTTTAGAGTGTTTCAAATATAACATTGAAACATTGTGTTATCCTTCCTCAATACTTACAGTTTGCCAATTTCATGGTGTCCTTATCGTGTGTTAGTCACCAATGTATCTAGTTGGCTTAGATTGTACATATTTTGGAATCTCCGACCATTTATTTACAAAATTTGCAAAAAAAACATATCCACTAAATCGTATTGGTTATATAACTTCATTTGGGCCTTAAGAAGAACATCCTTATCAACCTTAACGTATTATGCCAACATTTCTTTCGCCTACTCTTATTTTTTTCATGTACTTACATAATTTTTGAGATTTTCTTCAATGTTACTAAATCTTTATTCCATCATACATTTAAATTTCAACGTTTATGACGTTTTATTTTATAATGACTTTCGTTTAGATTAGAAGGAATAGTTTTGTAGTAGTTGGGTGACGAGTGTATAGAAAACATTCAAATAGAAGTTGTATTTGTAAAAATCTCAGTTTTTTGAATTAACAATAACCAGTGTAAAGAGCAAGAACAAAGATTCTAGCAGAATAACATGAATTCATTTTATTTCCTAGGTTCTCGTCAGCCGCTTACAACTTGTGGTTTTTAAAAAGACAATAATTATTACATAATGGGTTTAAATTGCTTACATGAGAGGGTTTATATTGAAGAAATATTCGTAAAGTATGTCATGGGTGTAAATGAAATTAATAGGCTGAATATTGTAAACATATACCTAATGTGAAAGAATATTCTACACCATTAATTGTGACAACAGTTCAAAGGGGTAGAAACGATTGATTACATAATGAATAAACATTGATAAGAATATAGTGAGTAGAGTTCAGTTGAAAGATTATTAATTTTTAAAGATAGTTGAAAAAATAAAATCAATGACGTAATAAATGTAAAAGATAAAAATTAAAATTTTTTTAAGCTGCAGTGGAAGAATATTTATCACCAAGGTAGGGAAAGATTAACAATCATCTCCTTCTGAACACATAAAATCAGGTTTTTGGTGCCTGATAGCAACTGCTTCAGCAAACTTCAGAAGACTGGAGTTTGGATGCTTACTAATAACCTTGAATGATTGTAGGGTGTCAACCTGATAGCCTGTGTCAAGGAGATGTTTAGTGATTGCTCTACTTAGAGTCTTTCTTTCTCTTGTTCTGAGGTTTTTTGGAACATGTTAAAAAAATCTGAGATATGCCCTCCTTTCTGTTCGGCCAATGTAGCTGCTTTGGCAGGTACATGTAAATTTATAAATACAATTGGCGGTAACATGAAAAGGATGCTTATCAACCTTTGATTGAGTTATTGAACATGTTGATTTATACAGAATTTGAAGTTTGGCCGCCTGATAGGTTCTGGCTAGCGCAGTATTGAGTCTCCTGTTGATTGTGTTAGCAACATCATCACCTTTGTACGTTCATCAATTCTTATTCCAGCTTATCAGTGGTACATATCTTTTCTGCCCTATGAAATAGTGTTTTAACTAGTGCCTTCTTGTAGCTGAGTGGACAAAAACTATTGAAATTCAGGTAAAGGCCATTCCAAGTACTTTTTCGATAAAGCGAACGTTAGACTGTCCCGTCTCTTCTACGTTTTATAGCAACATCAAGAAAGTGGAACATGTCATTCTGTTTGTGTTCCATAGTAAATTGTCTGTTAGGATGTGCATTATTGAAGAGTTCTAGCAGGAGGATTGCATGCTGTTTATTGTTGCAGACAATGAACGTGTCATCAACATATCTGGAATATTCCGTCGTTTCGCTAATCGCCTGATTAAGCACCATGTTTTCAAGATATCTTGAATAATCGTTTAGTAAACCGATGTTTTGTGAATCCTATTCATATCCAATGATTATGATTTTCCATTATTCCCCAGAAGAAGCTCAAACCGGATCGCTGGACGTTATGTTGAGGTTATTTTTAATTTAAATCGTTAGGATGTTTACGATTGTAGTTTCCGTTTTAATGTTAACAATGTTATTTCGTTTCCTTATCTACTTTTCTTATGTGGGAGGATTAAAACTTACTTCTCATCTCTTCAACAGAAACCCGATTTAACATATATTGTGATTCCCCAACATTTTCTTTGACCAATTGATAAATTTTGTATTTTAAGTCGTCTACTTTCACAATTGTTTTTTTACCTCACAATAAATATATACTCTGTCTCAAGACAACTAATACATGTAACTGAGTTATTCCAGTTCATGGTGGAGCCTACAGACATTTATAAACCCATGAAATTCTACTTCATAATCTTCAATTTTTTCGAAAGTTCATTTGTAAATAAGTAAATAAAATGTATGTTATTAAGGGAAAAATGTCAGTTATAATTAGTTCGCCTTCAAGTAAGTCAACTCAAAGCAAACTTATTAGTAAACACTCATTAACATCAGTAATATTATATTGGATTTATCGTTCGATTTCAGCCTAAATTACAATTTACCCTATCTACAATTTATTTGTCTACTATCTCTTTATATGTATTGTATTTTTCTGTGTATATCTAGATGGCCCAGTGCAAGTACGAGTTGATCACGGTCGTCCAAAGAAATCTGAACGAATTGCTTACCTGTTTAGTAATTGGCTTCTATTGTGTAAAAAGCAAAAACGTGTACTAAGTAATGTTGTGTCATCTTCGTCGTCATCATCCAATGCAAACTATGTGTTAAAAGTGAAAAAACGCATTTGCCTAGAACAGTTTCATATAATCGATGTAGCTTCAGAGTTCAGTGACAATAATGGTAAATTATATTTCTAATAAGAGTTTAGTTCAATACGTCGACCTTTTTTGTCTCGATCTCTGAAACTTTCGAGGTTGCAAATTGTATATTGACTTCTATAAATTTCTGAGTAGCTGTTTGGTTCTAGCAACTTAGTAATCAAGTTAACTGGTTTTTCAGTTTGTGATTGCAAATGTTAAATTTGATTTTCAAAGCTGGACAAATTTTTAACTCACGAAGCTTTCCCTCAGTGAACAACTGGTGTTATTCTTTTACTAATGATTGAATCTTAATGGTTAATCCCATGTATTGTTTTATATTTTCTAATTTGCAGATCAAACTGTTATCTGCATGAATGATATTTTTTTATTGCCTCCCTACTTTTAAAATGGTGCCTATATTTAGACTGGTATTTCGAAATTTTCTGTTTATTATGTGTTTATTATTTGAGTGCTTATGGATTCACTAATACATAGACTGTTATGTGAGTTCTGTTTTTGTAATGTATACTTATGTGTTGTCGTAGGATAATGGATTCAGGCATTTTTCCACCATTCACCAGTACTTTTAAAAGTCAAAGAATACATGAAGGGTAGTTAGTTGCTCTTCGATTCATAAAAATAATCTATAGTCCTTAAGTTTAGAGTTATTCTTTATTTGGTTAAAATTTCATAATTTCATAGAATATTGATAAGAAAGTGCGTTTAAAAAAAGTTTATTAATGAAAACAATGCTCCTTAAAAATCAAGATTATATATAATTTTTGGATTTGAGATATTTCTTTGCTAAGGTGTTCTCCCTAGCTCAGTTATTTTGATTGGTTTCTGTTCATATTACTATTGGCTCTCTTTAAACAAGAAAATAATGATTAGCTGAAATTGATGATATTTAGAAATAAATTTGTGTAGTATGTAGATCACAGTTACGTCGAAATGTTCTGGCCTATAAATTCCACTTACTATCATAAACTAAATTTCTTTATTGGTGGTTACACATATAGTTCACTTGCGGCACTAAGTTATTTCTGATGTATACTACTCATAATCGGCAGACGTATGACATACTAGTATATAACTGCGCGTTTATGTATGTTTTTCCAAATTCGTGTCTTTTTGATTAAAACTGTCCTAATGCCATGCAGTTTTGTTACATTCATCAATTTAATCTAATCCTGATACTAGTGCTTGAATTCAATGATAAATTGCATGATGACCGTCTATTTTTATTTTGATCGATAGACCTCAGTACATTGTACAGTTTGGTCATTTAAAATACTACATATTTCCTTGTGTTATTTAATAGTATATCCGAAGTCATTAGGATGAGAAATAATTTATGAAATGAATTCTTTGGGAAAATTGTTTACTTCTAAATATTGATATTAAATAATATGACGTATATTTTCATCAAAATTCAAACTATTTATGTTGGGTAGAGGATTATTTTCAAATTTTGATGATTTTCACCAAAAACCCAAATGTAATATATAAATCCAATTTATTAAGACAGTGAATAAGTGATAAATAAATAGAGCAGCAATTCAGTTACTAATGATAATTTATTTCCAAAGTGAGATTGAATATTATGTGGTGATTATGATTTACGAATGTACACAACTTCATCCATTCCACGGTTTAGCCTATTTTGTGAAAACATCTTCGATTGTTGCTCACGAAACTGGATTATTGATTCAAACGTCCCAAATGGAACTGATATTAGTAGGTAAGACAACGACCCAATAGAATAGGTTTTTTTATCCAATAAAGTAACATGCTTATTGTATATAAATAAATTATTAACGGAAAAAAATTAACAAGGTGAGATACCGCAAACAATTGAAGGAGATCAATTTTGTAAGTAAATTACTCATTCAGTTTCTAATAAATTAGGGCCTGAATGTTAGAGCCAATTTCTCTTTGTTACAATACTAATTAAAACTAGGTATTTTCTCAAGTGTTCTTGTTTTTGACGTTGTTCTTTACAGGTATGTTATTTCTCTTTGACTTGGAATGTTGGGAAGCTCCTAAATTGTCATCTATCATGTCTAATGTACAAACGAACACAACTAGTTCGTTTAATACCAATACACTCTCGTCTTGTAATTCTTCTGTTATACAAGCAGAAACACAGTCTATACTTTCTGGTTCATCCAATCATCATTATCAACCTCAAATTGGCAGTGTACTTTCTGTTTCTACACTTACAAGTACTAACACATTGATTGATCATACCGTTGACTTAAATAACATTGGAAATAATAATAGTAATAATGAAAATGACAAATCATTAATTCTACCAACCGCTGGTGATGCAGTGGAAGCTTCAAACAATGCTTTATTGGAGGTGATCTCATCTTATCCAAAACAGCGTTTCACATTTATTTTCTATAATAAAGAAGATAAAGCCAATTGGATATCAGCTTTAGTGTATCTTCATTTAGCTAGGTATTTTTGTTGTCAATAAATAGAAAGTTTCTAATATCTATTTAGGAACAACATTTTTTATGTGTTAAACACGATTTGATATATTTTGTGGTCAGTATTTTCTTATGAATTGGCTCTGTACTTTATAGGCTTTACCACTGACAACAGGTATCCAAGCAGCAAGGTAAGGTGGGTTGTTTTTAGGGGCCCTTCCCGTCGTTATTCGAAAATAGGATCACTCCAGTTACTGGTTGTTTGACAGGATCACCTTAATGTTGTCATATCTCTATACAGCGCATATATATTGGCGCTCTCTTGTACCAATATTTATGTGTTCAAATAATAATAATAATATCTGTACAGCTGGCAGCGCGATTTCAGGTGCGGACCTTAATTTGCTGCTTTTAATGCTACTGCTTTCTAACCAATCTACTTGAAATAGTAGGACATGAAAGAGCATTTGTTGCGGCCAGTGTAGCTCGATTAGATTATCACAATCTGTTAGCTTGACCACTATGACACAGTTAGGAGCTACGATTAGGTTAAAAATATTTTTAGCCGTATGATTACCTATAATAATGATAATTCTTGAATTATACAGAGTTTGACGTGTCAACTTCATTTGTCTTTTCATAGATGTTGAGTAAATAGAAATTTATTTTTTATTTCAGACTGATGTTTTCAATTCACCTCAAAATAATCTTTCTACCGATTCCTTTTTATTACTACCACTTTTAAATTTAGTCTCCTACCAATTTTTATTAGGCTACTCATAAATTTATATATATAAAGCTTCATTTTAGTCTTCTTTTGCTTTCTAGACTGTTTAAACGATATCTCACGTCCCTCCCTCGTCAAGATCTTCCCTTGATTTTACCATCTCCTTCAGTTTACCGGTAAGTGTTCCTGAAGTCGGGTGTTTTTAATTTCTGAGTAATGTAATTTGTTATGCGTTTAATCTACGGTCTTCCTAGAAATCTATACTGATCTAGATAACGTGTTTACTTCTCAGTTACTGGCCTTACCAATCCTTGCATAGTATGATAGTACTATATATATATATATATATATATATATATATATATATATATATATATATATATATATATATATATATATATATATATATATATATATAGTAGGGTAACTTTCATGCATTTCTTTCCCTTTCACTTTGATTCAGTTTTTCATGACAAGGATTAGATTTTGAGCATATCACTTAACTTACAGAATCTCAGAATCTTTAGAGGAGACTATCTTTATGCATAAAATGATTTGTTTTGGCTACAATTTGTAAAATCAGTTGAAATGACTTGTAAATTTTGTTGTTCTGTAATTATTCACAGGGAAAAACTATTGATTATCATATTAATGTTTATCGGTCTTGTTTTCATTTGCTAGAATATGCAAAATGTCCTTAATGATGAGACGACAATCAAATAGTTTGTTTTAGCTTACCCTATCATGGTTATTTAATAGAATCATGAATATGAATAATTGATGAGGTTATTCCTTTATTTTGGTATTTCACCAATAATCTATGAAATGTAGAAAAAAAACTGTACTTCTATTTTGTCTCTTAATATGTTTCTTTTTCTTTAAAAATTAGAACTTTTCGTAGACTAATCTCGTTAAAAGGAAAAAAAGATTCGACTGTTTCCAAATATATTATACTTAGTGATGTGCAGAAAAATAATGACGCGAACTAAAGGACTATAATTGATATGAACTGGTTGTTTAACGTAATATATACTTGGATTGTATAATTGTACTACGACAACTGGTTTGTTTCTGAATTGACAAAGTAATTACTGTTAGGATAATGACAAACAGATTTCATTAACAGTATAAGGTTGTGGATATTATTGAATTTCATTTAAGTCACGAACTAATTTAAATTGAACAGCTATTAATAACCTGTAAGCACTGAATAACTGTTTTCTCTTAGAATCTCGTGGAATGACCCTAAATTCCATCATTACGTTAGAGTATATTACCCAGTAACTGGTTTAAATTTTCTCATTTTGTCTTACAGATGATTAGTATAAAGCAACTTACTAATAATGTCATTGACTTTTGAGTTGATTAACTGTTGATTTTAATTTCCTAGTAGTTCCCATTTTGTATGTTGCTTGTCTCTAATCATATACATAAATAGATCTCAAGTGTTTTTTTAAATAAATTTATTCATTCCCGTAATAATAATAAAGTCATTGAATCTGTCATAAGATCTAAATACATTTGTTATTCAAAGAAGTATTCATTGAATTATCAATCAAATCGCTTATATATTCATTCTTATTCATATCTAATATAAACAGTGACTGTGTAATTTTATTCAATGTGTTATCAATATAAGCATATTATTACATTGTTTTATTACAGATATTCTGTTCCCGACTCTCCATCTAATATTATATTTGAATCTTCTCAAACAGATGGTAGCGCAGGGATTCCTGTTATTCGTGCTGCTACAATTTTGAAACTTATTGAACGAATGACATATCATGAATATTTTGACAATAAAACTTTGAATGCATTTCTTTTGGTATGTTTACTTTTTGTTAATTTATTTCGTTCTATCTAATTTAATAAATATACTTATTTTTTTATTGAATTGGGTAAAAATTAAATCGCATTTATCTTTACTACTAATAAACTTAGAATAATTTTAAGCATTCAAAAGTAAATATGTTTATATGCTGTCTATCATTGTGGAACATTTAAGTATACTTATTGTCATAGTTTCTAGTTCTTACTTTATATTTCATGCTAAAAATTGAAGAACGTATAGAATTTAAAAAAATATATATACCTAATGGGTTCCCACAGTTATGTTTTATGATCCAATCAGACTAATGATGTTAGCGTCTCTGAAAACGATATTGAAGGACAAATTTGAGTTTAACATCATCAATGTATTCTGAACTGTATATGAAAAATATACACCATTTACAGTAGGACGATTAATGTACTATTTGGCTCGTAAGTTCAAACATCATTTGATCTACTTTAATTTCATCAATCCTCACACAATTGATTTAAAATCAAGTACACAGGCGTGTTCCTGATTACTTGGATTTTTTTCCCCCAGCTAAACTAATTTTATACTAGATCAAAGTAATCAAAATGAAAAATGTTTGAATGTAGACTGAAAGTTTTGCTAAACTAACTTCAACATATTGTAAGTGGTAACAGTGTGGAGTTGATATTTATTTATTTGATTGTTGTATGAGATGCTGAAATTATTTATTTCTCACTTCTCCACCTGCTATTTACTTGTTTATTACGCATACTTGTTGCGTGATATAAATAAACAGAAAAATATAAAACAATAAATTATATATTTCATCTTGTATTGGTTGATTCAATCTTTCCATTGACGTTTAGGACTGCAATTGGTCAACCTCTTAGTGGCGTATATGAATTCTATGCGGATTGCTTTAATATTGCCTTAAGTCACAAACGTTATAAGTAGAGATGGATGGTGACTAGCAGTAAATGTACATCCAACTAACGAGTCTCAAACAGAACGAAACGCGTGTCCTGGATCCGATTGCTAGCCTACATCTATAAATTGTTTGTTTCTTTGTAAAAATATCCACACATTATTGGTACTTTAATCAATTTACCGTCACATACGTAATCATAAATTGATCTAATCTGTTACAAAAAACTCCGCTTAACACTTGCATGTTGTTACATGTTTTATTCTAACATCATTGCTGATGAAATTAGTAAATTTGTTTATTAGTTTATTCTGTAAGCTTTTATTTTCATACATTCAATGCAAGTAATCAAACTGATATTAATAAACTATGCATTTATTTGTTAGGTTTAGTGAAACTATTAAACGTTCAAACAATAAGGCCTACAACAATTTCTTATTACAAACGGTTGAGATTCTTCTAATTACAAAAAGGATCCAATAGCAACTAGGTAGATTGACAACTGACATACAACAGCACTTCAGCATTAATATTTCACATGCGAATGAGACGTAGAAAAGATAATATATTCAGGATAGCTTTATATTCCGAATAGAAGTTCAAATTGATCTTCGGACACTGGAAAATTAGAAAAGTGAAAGTAATAATAACTAATCAGATAAAAACAAGGGTCATTATGGAAATATGAACTAAAAAAAGTTATCGTGGTTACCTTTGCCATCTAGAATTAACAGTTATTGGTATAAAACTAGACAACCTGAGCTCACTTTAGCAGAGCGATATTAGTATATATATATATATATAAATTTCGGGCCAACTCAGTGTATTTACATTATTACTGTGGTGAACGCTGCTCACAATGTTGCTAGTTATATAGTATGCAGCGAGATGTTACCTTGAATCTGTCACAGTCGTCAGACAGGGAGGGGTTTCTGTACATTAAAAGCTTGGCTCAGGGAGAACAATTGAAGACCAGAAGAGAAGATACTTCGCATTGCAGAACACACTGAAAAATGCAAATAAATGGTCTAAGGCTACGTACACGTATAATATAAACCCTTTGTAATTTCTCACAATAAACATTTATTGCATCTTATATGTGAAAGTTATATTTGAAATATTCTCAGCGATTAAAATTTAACTAATTCCAACGTTTCGTCCAGACAAATTAGCTGGATGAAACGTTGGAATTAGTTAAATTTTAATCGCTGAGAATATTTCAAATATAATTTTCACATATAATGACTTCTCTATACTCGACGCTCAATTACTGTCAAGCTATTCGTTCTAATCTTGACGAATATTCGTATAAATTTATTGCATCTATCTATTACATGGTTTTACACTACCACTGGTGCTGTAGATCAAACTTTCTAGTCATCCTCAATGGTTTATGGTTGGTAATTTTGTTCCTACTTGTATAGTTTACTACAACTGTCATTTCATTCTTTCGTATATGTATAAAAAGTATCCATGTGTTTAAGGTGAACGGTTGTTTCAACTAGATTCTAATGAATTTGAAATAATAAGGAAAAGTTTAAAATTATGAAGGCTTGCATCACACTGAATATAAGTAGTATAAATGTAGATATAAAATTATTGTGTTGTTTTGTCATTCTATTATGGTTTGTAACATGGTGATATCTTTCTTTTCAATTATTGTATAGACATACCGACGTTATATTTCTTCGTTGGAGTTGTTGGATTTATTAATTGAGCGATTTAATATACCAAATCCAGATTTTACTGAGGCTGCTAATGAAACATTCAATTCAATCAAAGAACGTGATGGTTTACTTACTGTTGCTTTACGTTTAGAACAACGTTTCCGTTCAGTGTATAAACGGCGTGTACAATACAGGTTTGATCGAGTTTCATTAGTTTTTCTCTTGTGTTGTTGGCTGATTCTAATTGTTTATAAATATTTTGTTCTGGTCTAAGCACTCTCCAGTAAACACGGCATTATTCTCCGGTTGTACTCGTCACAGATTGATCTCAGTTGGGATATGTCTGGAAACTGGATAGCACTACTAAACAGCTGTTTCATCTTAGGATAGAATTCGTCAATACAGCGGTGAATAAAACCTAAAGACTAAACTAATCCTCACAAAACTTCAACTAAACTAACAATTAGTTCATTAGTAACCTACTTCAAGAATTTATGGTGAAACGTGACTGGTGAAGTTCAGATATGTGAGGAGCCAAACAATTTGTTACCAAATGGCATTTGATTGCCATTCTATATTGTGAACTGAGCGAAGTTAGGGTTGTACCACTGGGTGCCGAACTAGTAGCTCCAGCGGTCAAACTTTTCTTCTCGTGATCTGATGGTCCTGGGTTTGGTCTTCAATAGTGAATTGGTTGAAAACGATCTATTCCAAGTAGCAATATCGACAAAAGCCCTGGTACGGCCAAGAGTGGGGAGAGTCCGCTCTCCTCGAAATGCTCTCATATAGCCACGTGTATACAGTCACTGTCAGGAAAGTTTTACTCACTGCCTTCTCGTGGCGCAAGTGTCGTTTGTGAAATTGGGAGGACGAAAAACGAGTTTCCGTCACATTAACAGTGTTGGTTTATAAGGAGGATCCGCCTAGAGGAGTTGGAAAATCTTGATTCCAAATCGATGGTGCACATGGGCCTCAGGATCCTGAGGGAACAAATGGCGTATGAAACAATTATTGGTCACCGACTAGTATGGGACTGCATCTTCTTACGTTACTCCACTGCCTTGTGGATCAAACCTTTAAATCGAAGGCTCCGGGCGTGGCTCACCTTAAGAATACCACCTGCTTGGGTTTAGGTGTCTGGGCAGCATCATAGCTAATACACAAATCAAATGTATTGTGTGGCGTATTCGATGCCTCCTTGTACCAATATTTATGTGTTTAAATAAACAAATGAACGTTCAAGAGACTTTTTAGTGGAAATTCACGGTTGTCTTAATGGTCTCATATTCCATTAAGTAACGTTTTTGGAAAGTTCCATGGATAGAATGAATAGAAACACTTTCAAGAATAAATCGGTAATTGGGAAAAAGACCACACATCTGATACAGCCAGTCAGATTTCGTATGATGACGAAAAGCGGAGTCGATCTACTAATATATATATATATATATATATATATATATATATATATATATATATATATATATATATATATATATATATATATATATATATATATATATATATATATACTGTTTCTAGGAATGGCTCATTCGACATTTCACTGATCTATTCCTCCACCGTTCAGACGTTTTTCATCCCCGCATTAAGCACATCAATAACAATTTTAATAACGTCAATTATTATTAACAAGTGACATTGGAAAGTAGATTGATTAAGCAGATTTCTCCAAAACTGATCGATTATCACTGAAATTGTAGATGAATCACATCGATACTATCTCCACTTGCTATAGGTTTTTTATTTGAACAGTATTAAAACATCCATAACAATAGAAAATCATAAGGCTCAATTATAAGAAAACTCGTTAACTCCATTTTCAACTTGCAGTTCAAATTCAACATCAAATCCATGTTTTTGAAATTGCATTTTATGAGCTCGGTGGTTTAGTCATCAAGTTTTCATTGTTTTCCTAGACACGATATCATCAGCACAAACTTGAGATAGAATTGAGGTATTAGAATTTTTAAAAAAGCGACTAGCATCTTTTTAGGTCGGTTTTGAAGTTCATAGGTTGTTGTTCTTTAGACGTTTCCTGCCATCGTCTGCTTAATTATCTTGACTGTTTTTCTGACTATGTCCAGCTCACAAAATGCAATTTTAACAAAATCATTCTCTTGTGCTACATATTTTCTCGATCATCCAATCCATTGGTTGCTCAATCCCATTAAGAAATCTAGTCTATTTTATGGATTGAATGATAGAGTGAAAAGTTGTTAGCACTTTATTTATATATTTCCCATCTCTATCATTGAGATTGTCTCCGTCAATCATTCCGTGTCGTTACTACTTTTCAACGACAGTTTAACTGTTCACAAAAGTCTTCAATCGTATTCATCGCCAAGTCACATTCAGTTCAGTAGTTATCTCAATGCTATTTTAAAACTTTCATCATCTTACTATGATTGTCTTTTTTTGAAAACAATTTATTTCAGGGTTTTAAATTTCATTATTAAATGGGTGAAAAATTCTTCTTATTATAAACTTGACATATTACCAGACACTGTATTACGCAGTAGGTTGTGGGATTTCCTAGACACTGTACATGCTCGTAATTTATCTGACAATGTGACAAATATTCGTAAATCTCTTCTTGGTGATAGAATAAGATTAATCCAGACAATTGAACAACTTCCACCTGAACAACTTGATTTCGGTTTGGTTACATCACCAGATGACGTCAAATTAACCACAGTAAGACTTGTTCTATATGCACATTACAATAATTTTAAATTTATATATTTCATTAATGATAAGATTCGGCAATATTTATTTTATAAGAATTTTAATCCAATTTCATCTTAAATTAACATATTACTAAATTATCATTATTATTTAATTCGTATGTTTCTCTGTAATTTTCAAACATCTTTTTAATTTTTCGTCTAGATATATTGAATTAGTTGAGTTGTATGATGAGACTGTTTAAAATGTTCTCTAATCTAGCACTTTGTTCCACTTTTATGTTGAATATACCATCCAAATTTTTATCAGCAAATATTGTACAAAGTCATTGAAGTTTTTCTGAAGATAACAAAGTCAACTACATGTAAACCAATTATTCTGGTATTTTCGAAGAAAGAAGAATATTCTGTTTTTAATATGTGTTTCTTGTGAATTTTGTCCAATTGAATTCAGCCATTACTTTTGAGACTATCTTGTCATTGTGTTTTATATATCGGGAATAAGGTTTTCTCTTGCATTCAACTGTTATATAATAGTAGCATATAATAAAAGTTTTTGATCAATAATTATTTACCATTTAACTCCTGGAAATTGTGTAGTTTGTATGATTTTAGAACGTACTTAATTGTTTGTGTATGTAGTACGAATCGCTTTTCGATAACGTTTAGGATAAACTAGACTGTTTTCAGTACATTTTATTTGTAGATATTAGTAAACTTTGATTTAATGTCTACTGTGTTCATTCTCTTTTTATTTTTATTATATCGACTTTTGATTTCTTTTAAAGGTTCATCCGTTAGAATTCGCACGTCAAGTAACACTATATGAATGGGAGTTATATTCTCGCATTGAATTTTGGGAAGTCACTGGTAAGGAAAAAATCAAATCTCCCAATTTCGAATTATCACTCCAGTTTTCCAATAAGGTTTGTACTTTCATTTTTGTCAGTATCATATCATTATACCCATAATAACATCGATAGAATAAATAATATCTGACTGATATTACATTTATATCTCAACAATTTTGTATTATTGACGTTGGCATTAGTAAACTTATTTAGTTAACTGTTACTCAGTCATCAATCTAGAGCCTGACAGAAATGTGAATTAGTTTAAATTGTTATATCGTATTTGCTAAACGTGGTGAAATTAACACGATGAACAGTTAAGTAATCTAAATAATAAATAGTAGCCATTTCAATGAGAAAGACCAAGTATTAAAAATAGGGTTCGAGATGAGGGAACAAAAAGGTATTTATGAAGAGAAAATAGAACTGAAGACCTAGAGAAGGATAACGAGTAAATGCATTTGTTCTATTATGAATAATTCTCATCCACTTCACCCAACCTCCCCAACCACTAATCACATTTGTCACTTGGACCTCAACCAGATAGTCTGCGTTTATCAAAATGGCAAATTCTAGCTTTTTCCTAACCTACTTCTGGTTAGACATACATGAAACACGTTCAAACCGCTCGAGTTGATGAAGATTCATTGTTTCACAAATTGATTTACCTTTTTTATTTAATACTCTGCGTCTAACCTCAATATTCCTCACCCATTTGTTCGGACATACGCTAGCAATATTTCTGTTAGTAAAAATTATATAGGTTAAATATTAAATCCCTGTTTATTACTCCACTACTTACATAATCTTTGGTAATTATTGTATAAAATTGTTTATTCATCTACGATTCTCAATCTAATACGTTCTTAATAACTCAGTCAGTCTGTAAAACGCAACGTAGAACCTGACACATATGTACATCGGTTCAAGTTGCCATAACTCTTTAGCACAGAGAGATGAAATTGCCATGATAAGTCTCAGAGTAGTAAAAGTAGCAACAGTATTGGTGATAATTGAAAAGGTCAAACATCGAAGATGCGTTTCGAGAGAAAGTAAATCAGTGGGAAAAAATAATGAGGAAATTTAACAACTCAAGATCTAAGGAACGACAAACAATCAATGAATCTGCACTATTGCTTTTTATCTTCTAAACCAATCTATGTACAATCTAGATGTGTTTATAATTTATCCATTTTCTGAACATCTTATGATTATCGTTGAACCGTAATTGTTTTCTATTTGTTTCTGTTTTTCTATAAAGTTTAAATGTTGGTTAGTTAGTTCGATAATGTCAGCTGAACACTTAGAGGACAGAATGGTTATTATGCAACGTGTTGCTGATCTGTTAGTATACTTCGATAGTTTGAATAATTTACAAGGTGTTCAAGAAGCCAAAGCTGCTCTATTGAGTTCTCCAGTATTTCGACTAAGTGAAACCTACGATGTATGTTGTCTATGATTTGAAAATTTTATTTTTTTGATAGCTTCTGTTTGTATGTTAACATGACGATGATCTTAAATGTTTCAGTGATATATCTGTTGTATTTATTTATTTCCAGGCTTTAATTTCCAAATCAAAATGTCATTATCGTAACTTTTTTGAATCACTGCGTCAGTTCGTTCAAGATGATACCGCAAACGTTTATTTTACCGATTATCAAGAAAAATTGCATCGAATTCATCCACCCGGTCTCCCGTTTATTGCAGTCGGGGATAAGACACAACTGATACATTTAGAATTGAAGCATCCGGATTGGGTAAATGCCTCTACGTTGCCATTTTCAACTGTACCAGACACACAGAATTGTAGTAGTGGTTGTTTGGTTAACTTTTGGAAGTGTCGTCAATTAGCTGAACTTGTTGAATATTATTTGTCTTTTCAGCAAACTCCGTATAATTTCTCCATAAATAAGCCTATCCGTGTAAGTTCTTAATAGATGCTGGATTATATATATATATATATATATATATATATATATACGTTCTTTTATGAATCCCAGACATGTGTTCACTTGTGTAAGTAACCACTACAGTTACCAACCTCACGAACATCCCTGCTCATCACTATCTGTAACTCTTCTCATTGTAAACTCTCAGTGTCCCTGTGTTAAATGTATTATAACCTATAAAGCTTTTTGTGACGGCGGACCACGGTTGAACTCGAGGAAGCTGTAGGAGGCTCAGAAGGAGTCAAAGATATTCCATCCAGTCACCTTTTGGTAGAATATTCTAGAATTCCTGCGTGTAGCTTCCTGATTTGACAACGCTAATAACCCCCTGTTTGCGGGTTGGTGGACTGTAATGATGATTTCGTTCTTACTAAAAACTATAATTACCTGACATTTTGTACTATAATTGACACTGTTTGGAATAATATTCCTTTCATTAGTCTTCTGTCTTCTAATTGCGACTTGGAAAGGGTTTTGGTGTTTTAGCGCTCAATTATACGCGGTATATCAAGAAAACAACCTTCAATATATAACACTTTTCTAACTTTCTGCTGATTATTTAAATTAACCATATGTTATCCCTTGTTTGCTAGAACCTTAATTCTCACTTGGAGTAAAAGCTTTCAGCATTATATTTTTTTTGTCAAATTGAACAACAAGTCAATTTATCATGGACTTTGCTGTTTTGACACTTTGTATGTGAAGAAAAATCTTCATAAGAGTAGTTATGCATTTGATTTGATTCGTATAACGAATCTTTAGCTCTGTCTACTTGAAATATTAGATTATCATTATTTAGTAACCGTGTTTTATCACTGAGTATCGATAGTAATAATTCGTGTGGTATTCTTTTAGTGTTTTTTCTCGAATCTTTAATATTTTTGTTCTTTTATTAACTTGGGTAAATAATTTTGAGGTTTGGTGAGTCTGGTTGATATTAGATTCATCCATAAATAAATCAATAAATATATATACCTTATTACTAATTCTTGAGTATTCGTTTGGTTTTTAATACAGGGTTTCCTAGAGACATTAAACCCATTGAATACATGGGGTGTTGACAATGAGAATTTATTTGACGATATTATGTATGAAAAATCTTTGAAAATTCAGCCTAAGCGATCTGATTCACTTTGTACAGTAAGTTCACTTTTTAAGTTAACAGTACGCTTAACAACACGAATAACTCATATGTAATATAGGGTATATAATATTAGGTAGACCACTCAGTGTTAGTACTCATCAGTTTATCGATATATACATTGTTCATTCATTTACTTTGATTTATTGTGTCTCTCTTCATTCAACACAATATCTTTTGAGATATAACGTCATTATGCTTTCGTTTGAAATGGTGATCAAGATTTATATAGATTTTGCGAGAATAGTTATGTTCTCTTTACGACTATAGATAAACTGACAATTCATTTTTGTCTCTAGTTATCTATTATGATTCATATTTTGTTTTTACTTATTGTTTACTATGTATGTTGTAAAATGAAAAAGCTTTTTAAAGCTATTAATAGAATTTTAGAATCTGAGCGTTTAGGTTTCTTTATTTATTGCAAGTTATTAATAGACTTTTTTTGGAACGTTGAACGATTTGATGATACTTGCTCCCTGACAATACTCAGTGCTGTTGTCAAGACCTACCATTTGATTATTTGACCCACAACTAAATTATTGTTAGTCTATATTGATTATTAAACGGTTTAAGGGAAGACAGAGTATATGCACCTACACCATGTCACCCAGAGTCTCCAACGATTGGTTAAGATAGTCGTACGGACTTCAACCAAGTAGTCTGCACCTACCAACATAGCCCAGACCGGAAGTTAGTGATTTTATGGACTGATGGCATGTTTTGGTTTGGCCGCCTCGAACTTTCTTCCATTCGTCTCCTACACTAGTCAGCATTGCTCGCCGTGGTAATCGGTGGCTGGGCATACGTAATGAGTGGTCCAACCATCTCAGTCGATGAGGATTCACAACCACCATTCCCTAATATTCTGCACCTAACCTCACTATTACTTACCCGGAGATCCCAGAAGATGCGAGAAATATTTCTAAGATATCTGTGATCAAATACTAGTAACTTACGAGTATCCTCTACTCCTAATGGCCACGTTTCACAGCCGTAAATTAGAACAGAACGAACTGCTGCACAATATACTCGTCCCTTAATTGATAGACGAACATGTCGCCTTCGCCATAGGTGACATAAGATGGCAAAATCCAAACGAGCTTTTTGAATCCGTGTAGAGATTTCGTCAGACACCAACCGATTATGACTAATCAGACTTCTAATATAAGTGAAAAATGTCGGTGCGATTGACTACTTTACTCCCTATCCCTAGTTTAGGTGTTAACGCAGGCTAGTCCTGAAGCAACAATTTTCATTGAAACGAGGTGAAGCTCTAGAACAGATTTAAACGAAGTTGTTTAATATCCAGCTACTATCATTTAGTTATTCAAGGAGAGAGTGAATTCCCTGTAACTGACTAGTAGGAAGAAATATCATTTTATTTTCTACATTATAACTGTCGTATGAATGTGACTTTCATGCCGTGATAAATTTTGTAATTTATCACATGTCTTTATTTTTTCCACATAAACTTATCAAATCTCTAATTTCAGGTATCTCGGGAACGTAATCTAAAGCCTGTAGAAATAAAAATCGCAGCTGCATTAAATCTTGTTCAACCGGATCCCAAGTTAACCGCTGAATCTCGGGAGTTTCGTAGTCTTCTTCAGATGATTTCTACTGTTACAAACCGTTTATCAACCCTAACTTCAACATCCGAGAACCAATTTGTGAAAGAGTTTTCTAATATGCCCGATAAAGCTGTTGAGCAGACAAGTGATAAATCAAATACAGTTGCATCCTTAACATTAAATGACCCTTTGTCATCTCTACGAAATTCTAATGATAATTCATCTCTAATATCTGATCCTGACAAACGTTCAAGTCATTTGAAGTCTTTTTTAATGAGTGAGCTATCAGATTACATTATCTTTAAGTTCGTTAGGTTTATTGAATATTTTGAACTGATTAATTAATAATTAATAATTTTTCCCACATTTAGGTACTTAATTTGTAATTTAAGAATACCTAAATATTTCTATTCCTAAGGAACTTAATTTGAGAATTTACCTTAAAACAAATGGTTTAAATCACTCACTTTTCTTTTCCAACTGGCAATTCACATTCACTATGGGATGTTATTTATCCTTAAATTATAAATCTTCTGGCAAATATTTTTTGGTAAAATTATAATAATTAATGAAATATTGATGTATATTAATATTCGTGGTACTTGAATGCTTGGGTACAGACTTCCTAATATCTTTATAGTTTCCAGAAATCTTTTATCCTGAATGGGCAAATAAATGCTGGGAAGTCTGAAACGAGCTTCACTTTCAAGTTTAGTATGTGTGTAGAAAATAAAGATATTTATAGTATTTTATATGGCCTTGTGCTTTTAGACATCTGTGGTTAGTTACAAAATCGGTAATCGTTCAACCAAAGTATGACTTAATTTGTCTTTTTCTAAAATTCTTTTAAAAGTGTAAATCTCGCTGATTGGTCAACGTATTTTCAGCAATATTCGAACGTTTGAAGACTTTTTTTCCGAAGAATTATTAAAGGATATCAACATATAATTAGTTAGTAATGCTATTAGAAACACAAGAGTATATTTCCCTATATCACCACATGTTAATTATTTAGCTTAAATTGTTACTTTTGTAATATTTTACTTTATTCATATGTTTGAATAAGTTCAAATGATATTTTGTTGTTATTTCACTACGTTATCAATCAAATTGTACCTGAAGACACATGTACTACTACTTCATCGTCATCACCTGAAACACTTCTTCACAATGATAGTTCTCAATTTAAACCAGTCGATACTTTTCCCGTTGATGCTCATGTAAAAGGTGATAATGCACAAACTGTGTGCCTTTCTTCCCCACCGCCTCTACCTCCTCGAATTAGTAGATCGATTCAGCGAAATGTGCATTCAGAACAGTTTAGCAATCCGATCGCAGCATTTCAAGAATCTTCTCATAGTGTATCTAACTCCACCTTTTCAAATATCAGAGGTACGTTTATTAATATGATAAATGATCTCTAATTACATTGTTCACGCCTATGGAATTTTGCAAATGCAAAATTTTCGATGAGATTGGGATTTTAAAAGGGATACGAGCATGTGCTTAGAATGTACAGAATTGTGTTTCTTCATGTTATTGAAAAATTTTATTCAGATAGATAAAAAAATTATTTTTTCTGGTTAGCGGTTTTTTAGAAAGGTTATTTTTTAAGGAGTGGAATTGTTAACCCCATGTTCAACATTCCCTCTTTATCTGAGTTTGGGACCGGTAGTAACTCAAGAAGGGCTCCAGGTGAACAACCTTCAGATAGTCTGGAATAATTCGAGATTTTATCCTCTAATATCGTCATATTGAGTTTAAAAGTGAAAGGAACTCGCATTTTCTGCATAAAATATCAAATTCTTAGGTTTTTGTTATCCTCTATAATAACAAAAAGTTAAGGTTTCTAAAATTGTCAAGGCTTATAAACTTGTTTGATAGACATTGTCAAATGAAATGTTTAGGTAAACGTTTACATTGAGTACCTATTGATGAAAGCACTTAGTTCTCATCTGGTAACGACTACTTTTGATCTATTTTCTATCAGTTTTAAGTATTGTTGAGCGAGTTAATAAATAAGTTTTTCTACCATTCTAGTTGTTGCTAAATGACCCTAATTTATCTTGCTATTCATTTTGTTTAGTCAGAAATATTGTCTACAAAGGATTCATCTTCTCCAATCGTTTTCAACGTACCGATGTTGTCCAATATATAGCGACTTAATAACTTTACTCGTACATATCTTACGTTGATGATGTAATTAAATCGTTTCTCATAAGAGTGTGAAGTTAAAATAATATTACACACCTCTGACAAAAGTGATCCTCTCATGAATTATAATCATACAAATTGTTTTCGATTATTTGTAGCGTTCAAAAGAAAAATGACGTATTCAATCAAATGATTATTTTTATTTTTATCAGTGCTATGATTGCACGAAGTATATAATCTAATTGCAGTTTAAACTTATTCGACACATGTGGATAACCAGACATTATAGACACATACGCACTTGGATAGGAGGTTGCACAACTCATAAGCTTACAATTAATATACATGTTTATAACCATTTAGGGTCATTTTCTTGATAGTAGCTTGATAACATAAGCTCTTACCATCCAACGATAGGTAAATTAACTAGCTAAATATTAAAAATGGTAACATTTTGATTTCGTTCAAACACTTAGAGATATTTACCGCGTTTACAGTTTCCATCGAACTGGTAAAAGAAGGGGAATAGCAACTATGAGAATTACGTAGCTTGTACAGGTGAACCAGGGATCATCAAATATTTCCTTGTCTTGTAGTCGATACTACAAACTGGTTTCAGTTAAACAACATTAAAAAAAGGAAATTACTGGACATCTGTTTCGTCCTAGTGTGGGACTTTTCGGGAGTTTCCATTCACGACCTCAATACTAGCTATCCAGTGCTTCCTGATTTTCAGTGATTGTTTGACTAAGACCTATCTATGATATTAACTATGAGGTCGCCAAAGTGATCTTTATAAAGCCCTGTAATATTTTTGTTATTCATCTGTCTTTGTGGTCTTGGTACTAAAATGTATCAGTTGCTTAGCTTATCCAAACTCAAGTTATAATAATATTAATAGACATTTAATGAACATAGGTAATGGTACAACTGATCACCAAAATAAATATACACCATACAAATGGGGAAATGAAATTTTAAAGAGAAAAATTGCGTGAATGAAAATATCTAATGGAGAACAGTTTTAAGATACAAACAGGAAGAATCATTTAAGAATGCAGAAGAACTACAGCATGCTCTCTCCAGGTTTCTATTCTGAGCTATGTTTGATGATGTCTCAAGACATTGAGTTTCACAATCCCTATGATCCCAACCAGAGAGTCGTAATGGATCAACACTGACCAGTCCAATACAGCTTTATTTCACTCTACGGCATTATGTTGTAAACTGAACACCGGTTTTTCCATCCTGTCTTAGTGTCAGCAAACAATCAATGAAGTGAAAGGAGCTAGGGTAATATTCGTAAGATCTGTCCTAGTCGAAACAGCTGGTGCTTTTATATAGTGCTATTAATTGAGTTGTCTTCAATGTATCCGACCACACATTTGCTACAACTCAATCGGTATCTTGAAACAATGGATTCAGTGACTTGGATATTTATTTGTAATGTCTTATGTTTCTGAAGAAAATATCAATAGTGTAGTTAATGTTTGTTCATTTGAAAAATTGACAAATATATAAACATTCTTCGTACTGAGATTACATTCTGCTTTTAGTAGGAAATACATTTTGCATCAAAACTATATTCTTGTATTGTATAACTATTTTTGTTGCTTATTTACATGATTGATAATAAATAATCACACTCTGAATGTATTTTCTTAATACCAAAGTCTAAAATGAATCTCTAGTTTTATCATAGACATGTACATATAGTTGCAATATATTCGAGCTTTTTTTAAGCTATCAGGTTTAATTTACTAAAAGTAGTTTTTTATTACTACTTATCTTTTTCACCTATATTATTGTAGATATATCACCTGCAGAGTGCTTTCCAACCAACGTTACCATGACTGCTACTCACGGTGATATTTCGCAGCTGCCATTAGATGTCTCCTTGGGATTAGAAAATTCATCTATAATCAATTCGTCGGCTACATGCGACGATGTTGATCCTCCCCCAAGACCATCTCGTCGTAGATTAACTTCTTTATCGTCTGTAACAGGTGAAAAAGGTCCCTTTTGGTCAAATCTAGTCACCAAAACGTCAGGTAATTTAACGTTTTGTGAATGATGAAAGTTTAATTGACTTTTCCTGGATAAAGATTGTTATATTTTTTCACGTAGCTAGTTAAATAAAATAAAAAAAATTTCTTCGAGTTCTGATTATTAATGATTACATTCTCTTTCATTTCGTATTCTTCTGTGTTAACATCATTCAACAGACATCGGAGAAAATAACTGTCTAATTGTAGACTGTTATCATGGATATCCCTTTAAAAAGATGATTTAATTTAATTTACTACTTATGAGTATACATGAATATTGTATGAAAAATGTGTTAAGGGATATAAAAATCGTATACACCATACAGTTTTTTTATTGTAATGAATCATCCAATTTATTAGATGAAACAGTTGGAGAAAACTTTGTTTCTTACTAAAGCACTAAAGTAAATGCTGAAATTAATTCATTCTCAGAATAACTTAAAAAGATCATAGTATTAGTAATAAGTTGTAGCTAGTATAAATATTACACGAAAAATGTCTATTAATAATAAAACATACAACTCTAAAAGTATACATTACTTAGCTATTTGTGCGGAAAAAAGGACATCCATATATCCTAAATCTGATTGCGATTATTATTATTATTATTCCAATAGTTGAGATCATGAGTCAATTAAAGCTAGACCACCATGAAAAACCTAGAAGTACTGGACGGCCGTTTCGTTCTATTATGGGACTCCTCAGCAGTGCGCATTATTATTATGTGAACAGTTTCTATTTCTAAAATTCTCCTGTATATCTATCATTTTTACAACATGTTTTATTATGCTTTTACATTTTCATTCATGAGCTGTAAGTTTTCTTTCTTTATGTATACATTTCCCCGTAACTGTAAACATACTCCATTGATTTCTGTTTTCTAATTTTTTAATCCTACAGATAACATTAATATAAGTACAAATAATTCAATAGATAATGTATCAAATCCGCCTATTCTACCTCCTCGTATTCATCATCATGGTGGAGAAGTAAATTCATCACGATTATTTAAAAATAATAGTCCATTAATTCAAGATAATAATAATACTTTAAAAGAAGATAGTTTATGTATAAATGCTGGATTAACAAATGTATCTCATATTTTATCACATAATTTCACAAACATAAATCGTTCTCTATCATCTCCATCACCACCTCCATTACCTCCGAAAAAATCAACTACACCAAATATCTAAAACAAAAGTATGTAAATATTATTTTGTTTTACTCTGTAACACTAATTTCTTTTTCTTGTATAGATTGTCATATTTTATTTGCATTCAATACTACTTATTACTTACTATTTTCACTTATAATAAATGTAATTAAATCACTTTTCTTCTGACATAATTCAAGGATATATATATATCCCTTATATAAAAAAACAAACATATTTTTTTGTAGCGAATCTTAATGAATTCTCTTTTCATTACTTTTTTGTACATAATACATATGTGTATTCCTATTATATTACACTTTGTAATATTTTTGTGTCTTCGTTTACTTTCCGATTAAGATTTATTGTATTTTTCCTTTTTTTTGTCTTCTTTATTTCTGTAAAAAAACACAACAACTAATCAATATATAATAAGTTTCTCATCTAATCTCTATTGTTAATATTGTCCGGTATAATTAATTTCTGCCATCTCTTCATTTCCATCTTGTTTTTTTTATTCACTTTCAACTTTAATTTTTTATGTAATAAATGATTTACATCAATATGACAATTATAAACTACATGTATAATTGGTCTGTGAAAAGTGTTTTTATAAATTCACATTAACTAAAAGTGGAGTTACTTACTACTCTCTTGTTAAGATTTACACTGGTTAATGTAACTACTATATATGTATAATTATTGTAAACTAGTTTGCTTGAATAAATCATTATTCTCGTTTTGCCTGTTGGTACACTTTATATTCTTTTAGAAGCATTCAAAAAAAAACTTTTGAATGTACACCTTTGTTTGTTTGTTTTTACTCAAATAAAGTATGTTTTACACATCTTGTAAAAATAGCATGGTGTAAAGTGAGATTAATGATAATAGCATTTTTAAACTCATCATGAAACATATACATATCCCACTCTATAATTCACATAATCAACTGTTCTTCGTATTCTTCATCTTATTGCATCTAAATTACATTCTGGATGTGAATTAACACAGTCACATTTTGTTGCTAGGTTTGTAGTTAATTAAATTAATTAATTAATTTGTCTTACTAAGCTGCTTGAATTAAGTATCATTCAATAGATTTCTGTCAATTGACAGATAATTTCCATATTAAAAACACGAAGTTCAGCGAATCGATCATTTCCACCGAATTTGTTATTAAGCTGTACAATCGTATATATATGAAATTTTTTTGTCAAACTACTAGTTCCGTGAGGAAACGTGATCAGGAAATAACCAAGGTGATGTAATAGAAAGATTATAATACTAGATTACGCAATACGAATAATAACAATAGACTTAATAAGTTAGTAACCGATTATAACGTGAATGTAGTAAGATGATTAAAATGTTTTTGCTACAATAACTGTAGGTAATAAAAGGTAATAGAGATGCGAAATAAATGAACTGATATTATGAGCAATTATGAATAAAATAATGAGGATATGATATATAAGTTACGGAGAAATGCAGTATTAATAATAATTAAGGCCAAGGTAACGATAACAATAGGACGTACTTCTTTTGTACAAATAGTTCTGGCTTGAGCTTATGGATGGTAAGAGCTTCGACTATTTTTAGGAGTTGGATACGAAGAAATTTAGGTAGATTTGGACGAATTGTATGTAAAACCTTAAAATCAAACTAGATCAGTCGGTTAGATGATCAAGTATGGAACTCCTAAGTGCATTCTACTCACCCTTATACAACCACACTGGGACATGTTCCCATATTCGAGTTGAAAGTGAGCGCTGGCTACAGCCAATGTACCTTGCTCCAAAAGAGCAGGTGAGCTGGTAGATGCGTATGGGGGTGACCAGACAGGAAAGCTTATCTTCTATGGATACAGAAAAGAAGTTCCTATTATTGAACGTTATTCGCAGTTTTGCTGCACAGTATTTTCTTTTTATCTCTGTCGTTAAACGACTTTTGATTACATTAGATGTTCGATCACCTTTAAATTCCAAACTTATATGAAAGTTTTTCTTTGGGATGGAACAACCGGATTCCTTTTTACAACTACTTTTCATATTCTTGGTTGTTCCTTGTTCACACTTCCTCTTGGAGCTAGAACTACAACAAAAACTTTTCATGTGCATACGATTGTACAGCTTGATATCAAATTCACTGAAATGAGATCCATTCGAATTTAAATTGCCAAAATAACAATACAATTTGAGAAGTAGATAAGATGGAATAATAATATCTTTGGTAAACTCAATATTCTAAAAACTTATTATACAGTAAGACAGTCTGTCATTAGTTGGGCTCAATTATGCGATTCTGTATTTTAAATAAAACAAATCACAAATAGTGATAAATTTATTTCCCATAGAATCTCAAAGTGGGAGTAAAATTTCAAATACTTCATAAGCGCATGTGTCTATCATTTGTTTATGTCTTATGGTTCTAGCAAACGATCATTTCTTAACGTATATACTAGTCTGCACTGGATTACACTCAGTGATTTAAGATTTATACACGATTAAGTTGTATAATTCTCATCTCGAATCATAAACCCTTTTACATATACCGGTTTTGCTCATAGAAATTTATCTGGTTTTATTACAATTGTTAAACGAGAGAAATGTTTTTCATTCCTATGCGAAGATAGGCTAATGGGGATTACTATGGGTTTTTTTATTTCCAGTTTATTAAACCAAATCAATAACTGGATAAAGCATTTTCAGGGTCTGTCTAACAGATTTATACTGTGTTGCGTGCTACTTATATTGATGTAAGTAGTATATGACGCGAGTTAAAAACTTAATGTCTGGCAGCAGAACACGGGAGAAGATCAAGAAAGGAAGAGCGGGAACACAATACAATTTGTAAGAAAACGCATGAACAATGAAATGTGAGACAATGGATTGATGTTTGCAACAGCAACAGTCCGGTTTGATATAATGGATTGATATTTTGCAAATTAACGATTCACTATATGGTTTTTCTGTTTTACCGAGTAACTCTGTGATTCTGTGGAAAATACAATTCGATTGTCCCCACCGTGTCCTGTCCACTGCAATACCAGCTACTTCGTATCAAACTTGAACTGTAAGTACCGACGAATCGACCGCCGCATAATTCTTACAGGTTTTCAGTCCTTGGTAATGTGATAGATTATCACTCAAAAGGACGGTTAAAACAGTGTTATTACAATCAAATAAGTGGTATTTTATCGGAAAGTATAAAAATTGTAGGTTCTTGTAACTAAATCCAGGCTGGTATAAACGTCTATCCTGGTAACTCAATTGAGCTTAAAACAGATCGAGCAATATGTGGGAATTACTTACTTACGCCTGTTACCCCTTGTGGAAGAGCATAGACCGCCCACCAGCATTCTCCATCCAACTCTCTCCTGAACAGTCCTTTCCAGTTGCTATTCATTCTTTTCACGTTTGCTTCCGATTCCCGACTCAGTATGTTCTTTCGTCTTCCTCTTCTCCGTTTCCCCTCAGGGTTCTGATTTAGCAGTTTGATAATTTCAGTAATGTATGTCCCATCCACTTCCAACGCCTTTTCCTAATTTCGTCTTCAGTTAGAAGCTGGTTTGTTCTCTGTCATAGTAGGTTGTTGCTGTTGGTATCCAGTCAACGGATATTGAGTATCTTGCGTAAATAACTGTTTATAAATACCCTTACGTTTTGATGATGTTTGTGATGTTTCTTCAAGTTTCAGTTCCGTCGCCCTTCTAAGGCTACTGCCGGTATCCAACTCGGGTGAAAGAGGAGGGTTGGGCATGAAGTCAGCAACTCCATCTCGTAAGAAATAACCTTGCTAAAAAATACGCTAACTAGTAAATGCGAAACTGTAGTAAAAACATGATGTATTCATAAACTTTGTTTGTTGTTCCTAACTCAGGCAATATAGATCAAAATTTACATCGAGATATCATTTGTTGTGCTAGATAATTAATTACGGGACAAAAAATTCAGTTTTAAATATGAATAAATACTGTTTAACAATTTTATTTCTTATTATTCAAGGTGATTAAATAGGCATACTCGAAAAAGGATTGTTGATTTTCATCTGGAAATTTCTAACGACATTATCTATCGAGAATACTTTACCAAAATGTTCTATGAAAAGTTTTGTAACTTTAACAGGGAGAGGTTTTCTGAAAATAATGTTCATTGAAAACTCATTTGAACAGTAGTTTGAATCTTTTTCTTTAATATGCTAGATAAATATGTCACTAAACTCTTTTTATATCGTAAATCTCAAAGAATACTTGATGGGATCTCAATAAGAGCTCTAGTTATATACAACTATCCATGTGTTCATGGAGTAACATTTACCTCAGGACAACAAAGAGGTCCTTCCGATCATCCGATGTAGCGTTTGCCACAAAGTACACTTAGTCTTGTGGCACCATATCAATGTTATACAAGATGTTGTCAAGGAAGTTAACATACTATTTTTTGATTGTTCGGTATAACTGGATTCCGCTTATTTGATGTTCATAAATTCATTGTGACAAATCAGCAGTCCAATTATTCTTTATTAATGCATTGATATAGATGTTTTAACATCTCAACGTGTTGGTGATGACGTTTACTAACTTGCTAATGTGAGGATTCTTTGTTATTGTTCGTTTTGTGAATGGTATTGGGTAATAACATGTTTCGTCCGATTCTCCCCCCTCTAAATGCAAGTTGTTGCTTCAGGAATGGCCTGTGTCAACAGTTGAACTAAGAGAATGAAGTAGTCGAACGCGTCGACAACTTCACTTATCTTGGAATTCTGATCAGCCACAATCGTTTGGCTTCTGACGAAATCTCTACATGGATCCAAAAAGGTTGATTGATTTTTGCCAACCTATGGCAAATGTGAGATACCCATCAATTAAGGGACGGATATACTGTGCAGTAGTTCGTTCTGTTCCAGTTTACGGCTACTGATATTTGACCACAGATATCTTAGAATTATTGCTCGCATCTTCTGGGATCTTCGGGTAAGTAATAGCGAGGTTAGACGCATAATATTAGGAAATGGTGGTAAATCAGTTGATGTGGTTGTGAATATTCATCGACTGAGATGGTCGGGCCACCGATTACCACGGTGAGCAATGTTGACTAGTGTTGGAGACGAATGTAGGAAATTTAGGGGCGGCATCAGTCCATAAAGTCACCAACTTCTGATCTGAGCCATGTTGGTAGATGCAGACTACTTGGTTGAGGTCCGCACGTCTATGGTAACCAATGGTTGGAAACTCTGTGTGACATGGCTCAGAATCGACCACTTTGGCGTAGGTGTATACATTCTCTGTGTTACCTTAAACTGTGAGATTAAAATTACTTCATACCTTTGTTTTTACGAACTAATTATTTCTCCCAGTATTATATCTTTACACGCAATCTTTCTTTTATATATTACTACCATTGAAGTAACTTCTATGAATTTTTGTGTTCATCTTTTTGTACTAATGAGAGATAGTAACTTAGTCGCATGTGTTTATGCGCCTGATCTTATGTTTCAGCTTACTGACTGACTGACTGCGACATGTTACGTGATGCAGTTGTCTCTTTAGTTGTTGTCATTTTATACATAAGAATTATAAATTTAACTAAATCAAATAAAAAATTCTGTCTACAGATTTTTAAAAAAATCTTAAATTCACATACCAGACATAATCCCCTTGGTAGTTGTCAATCTACAAATGACAACTAAATGAATACATCATAACAATATATACTAACATATTACAACGTACAGAACACAATTACTCTAAGAATCCATATGTTCACGTATTTCAGATTGTTTTTATTGACAAGAAAAAAACAAACAATCTAATGAATCCTTCCTAGGACACTTTTTTTTCTTTATTAAACCATATCTGATACACAAAATAGATCGAGTGAATGACTCAAACATTTTGTCTATAGAAGTTAGTAACAAACATTCAAGTATTCGACTTCTTTTTTTCCTGTGTGTGTCAAAAAACAAAAACCTAAATAACTTTTTAACAGATTAAGTT